GATTATATAATATGTCAAGAATTAAATGCTCATTCATCATTAAAAAGGTATACATCATAACTTCTAATAATACCATACATCGTGAGCTTTTACGAATTCACTCTTAAAGAATCAACGAAATACTTTCATATTAAACCATAATATAAAAATATAAATCATAAAAAGCACTTATTATACATTATATATTTGTTATTTGGCTTATACTAGGGAACTTTGATAATACTACCAAACATAGTTACAATCTTTTAAATGTTTAAATTTGGTTTATGTTCTATATTTAATTGTGAGTGAATTTTAAGCAGTTGACCAATTAAATAGTAAATATCCCAAAGGATATGATTATAATATTATACCATTACGAAGAAAGGCTTAGGAGAGCGTTCTATAAATTATAAGCAGAGTTTATAATCCTTATTAGAATTCAATTAGTTTCATTAATAACTGATTAGTTATTTACAGCGACAAATAATAAATTGATCAGGTAAAACATTATATGTAATGATAACCTGTGGAGCTGTTTATAGTGTTTAAAATTGGATAATTTACGTCGTTTCACTACTATGAAATTTGAACATAACTAAAATAAATCTTTTACAAAAACATTTATACGAATCTCTATATTATAACTATATAAGTATAATAAAATTAAAGCATAATTTAAAACCATAAGCCGTAAACCTCAAATAAATATGTAACCTTAAAAAGTGGGCAAGTAGGTATATCTCTGCTGTAAGTACCTACTGCAAATGTCAAGTATACCTTGCCATTGAATAGATCACTATATAATAGTGTATTGGATCATATTGATAAATTAAATTTGAATTCAATAATAAATCATTGTATTAGAAAAAACATTCTGAACGGAGACTCGATATATTTTTATTATAACTGTTAAAATTAATTTTACTATATTATCTAATTTTTTAACCAAACCTAAATATATTTATTAAAACTTTAAAAAAATGTCTTCATACTATTTAAAATTAAAAAATTACTTTGAATATAATCGTATATAAATATAAGGGTATATAATATTAATTAGATATTTATATTAGGTAAGACCCATGAATGAATGAATGTATGGCAGGAGTACAGGACCTTCAATAGTTTGATTCAATTTTTTATTATATCATACTATATTGTTACTGAAAATGTTATGAAGAAGAAGAATTAAAATTATTCAAACACTTGGTAAAAGTTATGGTAACTTATAAGACATTCTACATTAAACATATTATTTTTAATAGATACCTATATTAGTATATAATATTATTATACTAAGTATAATAAGTAATAACATTTTACATTGTAATAGTTAAATTAAAAACTTCGTAATTAAATTTTAACATCTTGTGTAGAATCTTCCATTATGAAAAATACTTTAACTTGTTTTATATAGGTAATTTATTACCTACTTCGTTTTGTATTATATGAACAATAACTAAAATTGCCTATCCCCACACATTTAAAATCAAATCTATTGTATTGATACAATAATATTTTCATGAGTAAAACTTAAAACCCACTATTTTTTTATACAATTACTTACTGCCTATATTGTAACATATGAAAAAATAACTTAAATAGAAAAAAACTATCAATCATAGCTGGTAACCACTTTGCTGTATGGAGGTACCTATATCAATAATACATGATTAGCGAGAAGGTGTGTTAAATTTGAATTCAATGAGAAACCTTTGTATAATATGACAAAAAACCATTCTAAGCGAAGACATCCAATATTTTAGTAATTAAGGTTACCATATATTATTTTAATAAAAATATAAAAAAAATTAACAATTCATCGTATTTTTTTCCCAATTATTTTAATAGGGTACTGAGAAATTTCAATTTTCATCTCCCAAAAGTACCAACTCGATCCAATTTGCAACCAAAAACCTATTTTATGTTTAAAATCAAAAAATTGTTTCTACTAGATTAAACAACGCTTCACACAAAAATATGAAAACATACATCATTATTAAATGAATATATAGGTAATATATATATTAGTAGGTATATCAGAATTTTATTGTGTTGACAAATTATATATTTAAACAATTAAACATAATGTAATAAATATTATACATATTAATATTTATAATATTATAATTTTTAATTTAAATAAAACAATGCTATAAGTTACATAGACAATTCCAAACATTTAATGAATTAATAGCAAAATAATATGGTTTCTAAAACATCATGGACCATGGTTAGTTAATTAAATCTCAGCGAATCGTTAAACAAATCAATATTCTTTTGCAATCGAGTATAAGCATTTAGGTATTTTTTTAAAGTTCTTTATTTTTATTGTAAATAGAGAAAATATCTAACTCCATTAAGCACATGCTTATATTGGCGAAAGAAAATTAAAATAACGTATGAACAATTTAAGTATAAAATATAAAAACATAAAATAATTTAAATAATAAAAATTAAATTAAATTAAATATTAACTATAAAACTAAAATGAAAATTATTTTATTGTATGTAAAATATATCCTTTTTCAAACAATGAAAATAATCATATTTGTATTTTTCTATACTTGTAATTGTGATTCCCAGTCATGGTTGTATAGAATATGTCTTTTTTTTATGTATATATAATATATAGGTATCAAGTTGTAGTTTTTTGGAACTAGATAATCTATACATTTTGACCAAACAATTATTTGGAAAAATTCATTCCGACATCAAATAATGCTCTATTTTTTATATCCTGCAGGAAGGATTTAACAAAAATGTTCAATTATAAGTAAAATAATTATTCTCTTACACATATATCGAACTGACAACACATTTAATACCTTCAAGTTTTCTTTCGTTGAACCTATCTTAAGTATTTTTAATTAAGCAGATTCTAATATTTTTTCTTTATAGAAGTTATAGTTGTAGTCTTATTTATTCCCCTCTCCTAAACCAATAAACCATATTAAAAATTAAAATTTTACCTGAAATGGCGATAAATAAATTATGGGCAAAGTTTGCATTGGTAAAAAGGTTTATAATTTATAAAAGTTAAATTAAAAAATAATAAAACCCACATCATTGTTTATTACATATTCATAAAATTCAAACAATAAATTAATGGTCAAGTTGTCGCATGCAGATTAAAACCTCATAAACATCCTCTCACCACTGATGAAAGAAAACGAGTTATATTATATGGTCACAAAGGGATTGACACATAGTTTGTGGCAATGTGTCGCAAAGCGTGTGACCTAGTTTTGTGAGCCGCCAGAGACAAGGTATGGTCCAATGAGGGTCTCTGTCGTCTAAGAGAAAGATTATTTCTTTGAAAAACGCGGAGACCTTTGACGGTACCGCCTGCGACTCTGGCTGGCTTAACCACGTCGTCTTCTCTTATCAGTACATGAGCCAAGCTATCGAGTGCATGAGTACCGATTAAGTTACGAGTGCAGGTGCACCAGACGAGCGAACAGGAGCTCTACTCAAAAACCACCACACACCACACCCACAAGATTCTGCGAGTCGACAACTGAACTTCTTTTTTTATAAGTTAAATCAGAGTTGTTTTTCTTATTTAAACTTAAGTTTTTCTTAAGTCGTATCGTAATTTGTGTCATTTGTGACATCTTTCTCCTAACCTCCGAGGAACGTAATATAAGTATTCACTGTGGCGAATCAGGTAAGGTGCATGTCTAAAATACTTACCTATTGTTAGTACAGGTTCTTTTACTATCTAATTTGCATAGGTATTTGATCATATTCTCGAATCACGATCTCGGGAGCCTACCGAAGAACAGGAGAAAGGTAATAACACGAGAACAAGTATATTTAATAATTATTAATTATTAACACTGGACTTACATGCATGTGTCCCTTGTGTTTGTCCGGCTGCATAACCACTACTTTTTATCTTATATTTTCTCGTTATTACACACACACATCACAATATTATTTGCATTTAACTTCCATTTCATATTTTTGTCAAATGTTAAACTTAAATATCTTAAACTAGAAACTGTAAATTTTTTAACATATTGTAGCACTACTACAAGAATCCAAATGATCACAAGTATAAATTTCTAATTGATCGAAACTTTTGTAATTCTTATTAATTGAGAAATTCATAAAATGTATTTTTATATAATTAATAGTTAGGGAGTTAATATAACAATAAAGGACAAATAACACCATCCTGTGATATTTTACAGTTAATTTTCATGTATCTCTACAAAATAGGATGCATGACTATAAAAGATAGTTAATATTTTAGATCATATAATTGTCAATAACTTTAGTCTAAACGCCCTAAACCACGTCTAAAATTCATAATCTAATTTAAATGTCAGCATCTTTTCACTAAATTATAATAGCAGTAAAAAGAATCAACAGCAATCAGTTTGAAATGTCTTATAAGACTTTGAAGAGTCTTGATTATTATCTACCTACTTATATCATGGAAATAATTAAAAAATTTTTTTTTAACATCTACAAATTATTTATTATTTTATCATAAATTTATTGCATCTAAACCGTCATGTAATAGAAATATTAATATATAGATGATCACAATGAATTTATCCCTCTCAAACAATATTATATGACATTTTCTTAGTTTTTCCAATATTCTTCAAATTAATATTAATGTTATAGAAGAAAATTTGACATTGGTGCTTATATTTTATGTATAACAAAAAATGTATAGTAAACCAAAAAAATATTAAAACATTCATACATTTAATTGAAATATAATGAAATTAATTACTCAGCCAAATTATACTATATTAGTTATACAATAATTTGCTTGGTTAAATTTTATTTTGAATCGTAAAATAAACAAACAAAAATGATTTAATTATTAGATTAACTTAAACGAGTTAAACTTAAAATGTAATACAGATTTAAATAAATTACTTGATTGACAAATATGAATATACAACACAATTAATGGTTAATAAAAAAAATATTAAAACTTAAATCAATGTAAAAATAGGTAAACCTTAAATATTTTTTACAATACACATTTTTTTTTTTTTTAATATATAATATAGTTTAATACATTTAATCTACAGTAAAAGCTTAACTATACTGTATAAATAGTTAAAATAATAAAAATAGTTTTACACTATAAAAGTTAATACATATTTAAATTTCTAATAGCTTAAAATTGTATTTTAGAACACATTAATATAATTATGGGATATAACATGATAGATGTTTCTTATGATGCATTCTTAAGTTTGATTTAAATCTAAAAGCCATGTTACATTTATCGCATTTGAATGGTTTGACGCCTGTGTGTAATCTCATGTGTTCATGTAAATATCCAGGGTCTTTTAAAATTTTAGAACAAACATTACATTGAGCAGGATTATTAATATTCACTTCTAAAGAATTATTTTGGCTCAAACAATTCTCGACACGTTCGTTTTTATTATATGTAGAAATATTAGCATTGTGGTTTTCCAAAATATGATTACCTAGAGTAACATTTGTCTCAAATTGCTGACCACAGTCTTTACACTTATACATTTTTACTGAGTGTATCTTTGAATGTTCTTGTAATCTAATATTATCAGTAAACTTAATATTACAAATTTTGCAAGAGTATTTCATAATTATTTTTTTTTGATCCATTGATATAGGTTTCCTGTTTGTTCTTTTATTTTGATGGTTTAATTCTTCATAATTTTTAAATAGTCGTTTGTGTTTAATTTTCAAATGTTCTCTATAAGAAAATTTGTGTTTAAATGTCTTTCCACAAACATTACAGGTCATAGGTTCATAACTATTTGTGTGAATTATAGAGATGTGGCGACCTAAATTAGCTGCATTACTGTATACTTTACCACATAACTTACATTTACTGCCATTAATATGATTACTTTTATTTTGTCTCTTAATCACCAGATTCTGTTGCATTGTCTCCACTGTTTTGTCTTTTTGGAAACTGGTATTATTATGAATATTTAAAACTGTTGTATCTAATTTATTATGAACAGTTTTTATATGTACTGATCGATTGTAAGAGGTACTATATGTTTTCTTACAAATATTACATTTAAATCGACAAGAATTGGTAAAATTCTTTGAAGCTTGATTTGATGTAAATTCTGGAAGATTACTTTTACAATGGCGACGACATTCCTTGCTCATTCTCATATGTTTTTTCCACTGAGATATTGAGTTATATTCTTTTTTACAATATCGACATTTCATTTTATCTGGATAATTTATAGATTCAATCTTTAGTTTGCCAATATTTGATTTTAGATTATTAGTATGTTGTTTACTTTTTAAATTAGCAATAAACCTTATATAATGGCCTTTTAAATGCCAATTCCATCGAAATTTCAAGGAGTAAGATCTATTACAAATCTTACATACATATGGTACAATATCAGAATGTGACTTTCGGTGTATATTCAGTTGAAATGGAGTAGAGAATTTTTTCTCACACACATCACAAGTGAACCATAAATTTTTTATGTTAGTTAAATTTGTACCATTTGAATTTCCATCAACTGAATTATGAACTAACTCAAAATCATCACAATTTTCAGTTTGCGGTACTTCATCAACTGTTATGTTATTTGTGTTTAGATTGGAAGCACTTTTAACTTCATTTTTTAATACATGTTTTCTCTCATGCATAATATAAGGACCTTCCTTACTAAATTTTCTATAACAATATTGGCATTTATATGGTTTACAATCAACATGAATATTCATATGATTAGTTAAAGCACCAAGATGTGCAAATTGTTTATTACAAATGGTACAAACTGTAGATTTCTTCTCATTGCTTTTATTAACGTGATTATTCAAATTGTTATCTATAGAAACTGATACTTTGTTTTCATATTTATTAGTTAACTGAATGTTTTCAGGCAGAATGATTGACTTTTTGCAATCTATCGAAGTAAGTTGTTTTGGTAAATTTGGATTTATATTATGCTTTAATAGCATATGATTTGTAAAATAACACCGCTTTGTAAATTTTCTATTGCATAAATTACAAAAATTTGTGTTTTTAGTTGACCATAATTTTTTTTCATTTTTATGTTTTATTGATATTATCTCAGAATTAATGTTGTTATTTTCTATATTAATGTTGTTTTGGATATCAATTACTTCAGGTTTATTATTCTTATTATTTTGTAAAAATAGATTATCTAAGCCAATGTGAGATTTTTCATGATTTGTACATTGACCTTTTCCAGAAAATATTCTATTACAATATTTACAGGAAAATGACTGTGATTTATTATGAAGAGTTTGATGAACTTTTAATGTGGCCTTTGAAGGAAACAATTTTTTACATGTACTACAGTCATATTGATTTTTTATTTTATTACCACTATTATTCAAGCCTGTTATATTTGAAGATGGACTATTCGATGAAGATATCTTGAATTTTCTATTTCTTGAAGTTTTACAAGCTTGAGATTCCATATTTTCAGAATTTATAGAGCCTAATGTATTAGACTTAGTTTCTGTAGGATTAAACTGAACTCCAGATACATTTAAATCTAATTGCTGTTGATGATAAGTCATATGATTTGTCCAAAGAAGTACAGTGCTAAATTTCTTATCACACACAATACATTCATGCATGTTGCATTCACTATGATCACTCATGTGCAATGCAAATGAATGTATATCTGTAGATGGAGATTTTTTACAAATTCTACAAATAAATATAAAATTATTTTGCGATGTCTGTCCATAATCATTATGACAAAATACATTTTTAATATTAGGCAATTTTCTAATACAGAAATAAGGTGTTTCCCTAACAGTAGATGCAATATTATTATTAGCTATACTAATAGGGTTTTGGTATGCCATTAAATCGAGAGGTTTATTTGCCACAGTTGGTTCATCACTATTTACAAAATTCATTAGTTCAAAGCTGTTTCTTTCTCTAAAATTTGTACTCGTGTTTTTTTCTTGCTTAATGTTTAACACATGACAATTGTTCACCATTGAGTTATGTGAAAGAGTCGAAATTATTGATTCATTACTGTTTGCTAAATTTATTTGATCTGAACTGTTTGTTTCTCTGTTAATTGTACACAAGTTTTTTTCTTGCTTAATTTTCACAAGACAATTGTTTGTTATTGAACTATGTGAAGCAACCGATACAGTTTGTTGATTGTTGATTATTTGATGAGAAATATTTTTTTCATTTAAATTTGCATTTAAGTATTTTTCTTGCTTTATATTTTGAATACAGTAATCATGTGTCAATAAATTATTTGAAGCACTCGAAACAGCTGTTGCATTGCTGTTTGTTAAATTTATTTGACTCGAACCATTTGTTTTTATGATATTCAATGAGATTTTATTTTGCTTTAAATTAGTATTGCTACAATCTGTCATTAAATTGTGTGATATATTTTGTGTTATTGATTCATTGCTATTAACTGCTTCTTTATTATAAGATCTTTTTCTTTTTTCAACAGTTGTGCATACATTTTTTTCCTTATTGATATTTAAATTGATATTATTTGCCACTAAATTACGTGGCGCTGCAATATGTATAGTTGATTCATTGCTGTTCACTAAATCGGTTTGATCTGAATTATTTCTTCCTGTAATATTTTTAGATAATAATTGTCCTTTATTTGTATCAAAAGGAAAATCATTTATAACCTCAGGTTCTCTAATTGTAGTTGTTTTATCATTATTTACTATTAACATAACATGTTGTTCATCTTTTTCATGAACGTCCACGTGTTTTAGCCATAAAATCCTTGAATTAAAAAATTGTCCACAATATTTACAAGTATAATGCTTACAACCAATAGTTATATGATTCTTCAATGATAAAGAACTATTAAAAACAATTCCACAAGCAGAACAAGTCGTTGAATTAGCCTTGGATTTACCACAAACCTCATTCCATTGGATATGAGAGTTTTTTAAGCAATGAATTAAATGACAGTTTAAATGTTGTTGTTTTTCAAACTGCAAGTTACACTTTTGACATTTAAATAAATGTTTATCATGTAATTGTTGCATATGATTATTCAATTCAGAAACTGAAACATACTTTAAGCAATCATTACACTGTGTTTGACAATTGTCATGAGTTTCCATATGTTCCACTAAATTCTTTTCACTATGACATTTTTGAAAACAAATATTACATTTAAATACATTTGTTTTACTTTTCCAAACACCATTTAATTTGTGCAATTTTATATTAGGAATAATATCAATCCTAGCTTCATTTTTTTTATGGCTTTTCATGTGTTCATTATATAAACTTTTATCAATAAAATGTTTACAAAATTTGCATTCAAATGTTTGACTGTGATGTTTTTGAATATGTCTATTCAAACCAAATTTTAACTTAAACTGTTTTCCACAATATTTACATTTATTAGTTTTAAAATTTACTTGTCTTTTGTGTTCTGCCAAATGATTTTTTAAAAGATAATTTAAAGCAAAGCCTTTTCCACAAATATTACAGTAAAATATTTTATTATTTGTATTTTCAGGATTTAAGTTAATATTATTAACTGAGACACCCTATAAGGAAAAAAATATTTATACATAAAATAATTAATACATTTTAATGTTTTTTAGGGGATTCTTGACGTATGCAGTCTACCACATGGTCTACCATTCTTAACAGGTAGTGTTGTATACATTCATACTACCACTGTAATGTGTATCTATGAATAGATAATTTAACTAATAAAACGTATCATAATTTGATAAAATTAGGATCTAAATTTATTGGTTATAATAATAAAGCCTTCAACCAATCTAAAACAGCTAATATTTGTTGTAAATTATTGACATTTTTGTTTTGGATATATCTTATACTACATATGAAATTCTACTAAATAGACATAAAGTGCATAATACATAAGTATGTTTTTAATCTTTTAAATTTTAAAACTATGTTAGCTAAAAAGTTATGATAAATTGTTTAATTAGAGGAAACTGCACTGTTTATGGTGGAAAATAGAGGTAAATATTATATACAATTATCGAAAGAAAAACTTAAATTTGGTTAATAACTAATGTTTAATACATAATAATCAATATAGGAATGATATTAAAAAAAGTGGTGGATTACATACGACACTAAATATTAATAGTGGTAGTCATGGCACATGAAAAACATGTGGTACACATCACATGACAAGAATACCATATTAAATATATTACCTGAAATTCCAAGGGTAATTTCATATTATTTTGATTGGTAACATCTTTAGAAATTTCGATTCTACTTTCCCACATACAGTCATCCAACATATCAGTTTCAAGCTTTATAACTTTCTCAACATTTTCAGATATTAAAGACACATGATTATCTTCAACTGTATACCACGCAGGATTTTCAACAGTGTTTTCAACATATAATTCACTATACATTTTAAAGATTTAATTAATTAATATTTTGTAAAACATAATTATATTAAATTAAAAAGAGAAGAAAATTTATGAAGATTTTAGTTATGTGAAAATACCTGGTAACAGCATCAGCATCACCAGTGACTTCAACCTTTATGTAATTTTTCATTGGAGTCATTTAAAAATATTCTAAAAATCAAAATATTAATTAATTTCTAGTATATATAAACTATACTAAATCTAATAAAGTTTTATTTGAATTCATGATATATATATTTAATCGATAGTATTTTATTTTTTATATATAAAATATACACCTAAATAATTGCTGATATTTTTCTAAAAACCTAAACTGAATGCTATTCTTTAGTTTGATTATAAGTACATTTTAAAATAATTAAATAAATCAAAATAAGTGAATACAGAAATTAAAGAGAACCTATAAGCTGTTTATTGTGTAACAAACAAAAAATTATATAATGGAGGTTAATTAATAAATAAATAGATTATACTTGTATGGCTGTTATTAAAGTTCTCATACGAAATGAGGTCAGTGTTTAAATTAATTTTAGTTTTAAACTAATTAAATTGTAATATTTCTAAATGAAAATTTTAAAAAACACACATGTGAATCTTTGATGCTAACGATTTAAGGATTCACCCATCTAATTTTTTTTTTAAATAAAAGAGCACACTTCATAGCAAATTATAAACATCTATTTATAAGCCCAACTCCTATCCATGAAATTTCAAGCAATAAAATAGAAATTTATCAATGGTATCATCTATCCCAGAAAATTAAAATTAAAATTTACAAAGCTATTTATTTTTTTTTTAAGTTGTCACATTTATGTACTCCCAAGATCATTGTATACACTTATACATATTTACTTAACATTCATATATAATAATTTTACGTTATTGTGTTAATAGGGCCCAAAAATATTGAAGATACCACCTGAAATTTTGACCTACAAATACCCATATTTTTAGTCAGATAATTGTTAAATAGATCAACATGTTCTAAATTTATTAAATTATATTTATTTTTTTATTAAAATGTAAAATTGCATAAGTGTGCGTGCTTATCAGGCTTCGAGGGAGGCAAGTACCTTCTTTATAATATCTTTTATCAAAGTTTTTAAAATGTACTATAATATATAAATATTTTGCTAGTAATAAAAAAGCTTCAGCTTTTTAATAACTTCAAACCTAATTATATTATATTATATTAAAATTTTATTACTGTTTTTTTTTTATTTTAAAGTCACAAGAAAAATCTATTAATTTTTTTATATTAAACATAACCGTATGAAATTTAAATTAGTATATAATATGGTTTATATACCCAGGTCCATAAATATATATAAGGTTTAATTCCAAAGATTGTTGTCACACATCAACATCTTATCTAAAAATAAAATTCAGAGTCTAGATTCATGAAACTCTAAGTAATTTAGTCTTGTCTCCCCTGAAAAGAGGACATGTACACAATTATGTGTACCAACATAAATATAATTAAGAGAAATTTATTTATTTTTAATAGTTATTAAACTCATATTGTATACATACAGATGATAACTATACATGTAAATAAATATTAGAGGATGTAGATATGTAAATCCAAAACATAAAATCCCTGAACTAAGGGATTATAATGTACCCTATCAATTGTTACAACTTAAGAAAATTTTAAGTTAAACTACTAGTTTATAATGTACCTTTTATCATAATAAGATATTATAATATTCTAGTTTATTTTCAAGCATCTAACATTGTACAATTATAATACAATGAATTAAGTATGCATAATTAATTTAGATATTTTTAATTGATAATTACAGACATGTAGGAAAATTGAGATATATAAATACACGGAACAATACATTTAAGTTTCATAAAAATGAATATTGTATAGATGATACAAGTAGAACTTGACTGAACATTTTAATACACAATTCAACAACAAAATGGTGTCTTTTACTTTTAGGTCCCATTATCTAATGTGTTTGTATCAACAATTATCTATCAATTATTAGACTCTTATGTCAAGATTAGAAACTCAACAAAACTACTTGTACTACAACTTAATAAATTCAAAATAATGAAAAAATATATATATAATAAAACTATGAATGGTTGTAATAGTAAGGTCAACTTACTATTTGATCACCCGATGATGGGTGACAAATCAATTTGCAATCACATACACGGTGAAACAAGAATGCAAAACCGTTCTGGGTTGTCGGCCATGTAACAAAATCTCAATCAGTCTTATGTTGGTTTCACATGTTGAAACCGACACTGAAAGCCACAAGGAAATTTTTAAAGAATTAAACGATTTCAATAAAACCAAAATCTGAAATTTACAACAGCAGTGTCCAGTTAATGGATAAATGGACCGAAGTTATAGATGTTTCTGTATCAAGTATTTGTGCACGTTCAGCTGTCCAGGTCATGTTCAAAACTGATTTCTGATCACAGAATAACAATCTATTTAGTAGTTCAATTATACGGATATAGGTGCGCAATCAATTCAAACTGTTAACTTTTGTTTGTAGTCGTAAGCGGCTGACTTGACATTCGGCTACCATCAGATAGCTGGAATAATTACAAATAGAAATTATAAAATCATTACGAATATGTGGGGACATGTTATTATGGATATGAACATTACAAACGTTTTTCATACATAGTATAAACAATACATCCCATTGATACGAAAGCATAGATGGATCATAAGTATGTATAAGAAGCGATACATTGATGTCAAAACAGCGACCACTGGTTAATCGTAATATCGTTTATTCGCTCCCCCGCCGAGTGTGTTCAGACTTTCAGAGTTGATAGTTGACACTTGATTTCGTCGGGTTGATACAAATGTACAATTGTCATACGAACCATACAATTATTGGTTGTGCATAAAAACAAACATGGTCGGTCGATTATCGATACTTTAAGACGTCATTGTAAAAGTAAATTAAAAACAACATTGCAGTTTTCATTTTCGGAATCACGGTTCACGTCAGTATTAATTTCTACGCAAACTGCTAACGTATGAAAATTTGGAATTTTGAATTCGTCAAAGCTGAATGCAGAAAGCCGGAATGGTTAACGTTCGGCTCACATTGCAGAATTCCCTAAAATTGATAGCAATTAGCATTTACGAGTAGCATCAAACAACTTACCAGGCTATACAATCATGATTCATATTCAACTTTCGAGATTCGTGACTCGTACCAAAAATTAAAATTACTAATTATTAAATAAATAATATATTATAATATAGTGTGCTACACTGGCAGTGCGTCTGCGCCTTAAACTTAATTACATGACCCAGTACCAGATCTATGGTTATAGGCAAATAACCACAGGCCGGCACAGATATATATACATATAATGTCTGTGGTCATATCTATTATCATTTAATAGATAAGACCATGCTGGTGAGTGATAACTGACTACAAAGTACAAAGTAAAAATTTGAAACTATAAGTTTACAAGCAAGAACTATTTAGTGTTTTAGTGTCTACACCGGTCATTGAACAATCAATAATAATTATAATTTCTCAAAACACTGACTGACTACTGACATGAAAACAGCCACTACGTGTTTATAAAGGTAAAAAAATTTATTCAAAATAATGAAGGTTTACTGTTTGCAAAACGGAAAATATTTAGGAGTATCTTACTTTACAAATGTCAAAAATATAAAATGGCTTAAAGACAACATGGCTTCAATTTTCAAAGATAAATCACCAGTGTTAATTAACCGCAGATTGATTGCCGATCCATTTCAGATTGTAGTTGCTGTGAATAATGCTTACTTGTCCAATGAAAACTCTTGTATGAAAACCAAGTCTCTTGCTAACGAAATTTTGTTCAATTTATCTGGAACAAAAAATATCACACAATCATTGAAAGATGCAAGTGCTAATGATGAGGATGATGACATGATAGTTGCACTTACATCAAAGTTTTCCAATGTTCCAGAAATGAAAATATTTCAAGAAAAATGTATTACAGGATGTGAAACAGATATTTCACAACTTACAGAAAATATTGATGAAAATTATATTAAATCTTATTACAAAATAAGTGAAGTAGAAAGTTTAAATTCCAGTCTACTTGATTCTATTGTTACTAGAATCGCTTGTAAAATCCTAACATTGTAAAACTATAAATTTAAGTAATTAAAATTGTATTAAGTTACTTTCATTTTTTATATCATTGTAATATTTCTTAGAATTTATAATCCTACATTTTTCTAAATACGTTGGTCCTAAAAATAAATATCAAAATCAAAGAAGCAAATTATTATATTTTTAAAGTTATTTTTTACTTAAATACTTCAATTTCTATGATTGTTGAAAATTTCTAACAAATACATAACATCTGTTGTATTAAAATAAAATAAAAATATAATACTTAGGGTCATGTTTATTTCACTTAAAAATAATAAATGAATCAAAACATTTTTATATACTAAATTTTGTGGAAGAATTCTGTTTTTTTAAGTAATTGAAAAATATTTGAATAATACTTTGCACATTATTCATATTGTAGAATATCTGTGTATATATTGGCACAATTGGTCAACAAATGTTTGATTGTAACTTTGGTGGTGTTTTATACATATGTTGTTGTTCATTATTTTTTTAAGTTTTATTTTCATTATACCTATCTATCCTTGTAAGCAATATAACAATAATCAAACCAACTACCTTACTTAAAGTTAAATGTTTTAGTACTGCAAATATCCAATAAATAACTGATAAGGTTAAACCATAAGACACTCAAAATAATACTGAGTTACTATTCAATGGAAGAGCACACTGAGCACATGCGAAGTTAGTAATACATTCCAATTATATTTAAATGATAAATTATCAAAGAAAATTTAACACATGAAATTAAATAAGTACCTCATTACAGTGATACCTTTTTTTAAATTTAAAGATATACTTTATTAAAACTAAAAATTGATCCGGATAATGATTAGTTTTGCACAGTTTGCCACTGAAATTCATCAGTTATGTCAGGCCTAGAGGTCACTTCTTATATTAAAGTTTACCCAATAACTTTTTTTTTCAAAAAGAATGTCTGCAGTATGTACATAAACATAACAATATTTTATACTTGTTGATTGTATAAAAAAATACTTATGTAATTTAAATCTTTTTTATTTTAAAATTGTGCTTTTAAAACAGAATATCAAAGTACAAGATACACACAAAATTAATAATATGCTGTATTACGAAAAATGTTAATTACAAAAAAAAAATATAATAATATGTAATGCAGTATTACATAATATGTATTACCAGCTCAAACTTAATAAAAGGATAAAATAAATTAAAATAGAAGGTAATTTTTTTTTTTTTGTCACAACAATTTCTTTTATTTAAAGCATAAATAATAGTATTTCATGTGAAATTAGTGACTTTTGAGTTAATACTCCCCCAAGCCCGTCACTTCTTGGTGCTAGGGGGCAGAAGTGCTTGGCCACGATCTTTTCCTCTTAATTTTATACCTGAAACAAAACATTTTGATTTATTACACGTTTAAATGCATAAAAAAAAATACAATATGAAACCTAATTCAAATATTTTGATAAATACAAGATTTCATATCATATCTCATAAGTGTTCATTTTTGCTTCTAAAAAATTTTCTATATCAATTTTTATTTTTGTTTATTATGCAATAAACAAAAATCCAAATTTTGTTTTGTAGACTTGTGGTTACAATATGATAATCCGCTTTAATTTAAGTTAAAATCCTATTTCTGATTCATTATTTTATGTGGAGATATGAATATACTTTTAAAGTTCAGTACCTAATTAATATATTGATTCAAATTTAAACTACTCACAGTAAAGTGTAAGTGCTTAAAATACTATAAAGAATTCATAAACATATTTTATATATTATATAAGCAAGATAAATATAGTACAAAGCCACACAAATTAAATGGAAAAAGTTGTTAAAATTTTTAAGTTAAAAGAGCTCAAATTAAAATTATTAATACACTAATATTCCCTGCCATTAATTTATCTTTGTATTCAGATAATGTTTTTTTAATACTTTAATAGACAAAAAATATCTTCTATAATTTTAAATTTTATAAAAATTTTACTAATTTATTATTAACTATACATAAAATTCAATAATCAACTCTCAACAAATGGTGATAATAATTATCTAAATAGCTAAAATTAAATATTTTTTCTATGTTTTTTCAATTTTTTAAAAATATATGATAGAATGAAAAATAATAATTGATTAATACAATTTGTTATTTGTTTATTATCAATAAGTGTGTTGTATATAGTACAAACCATATTTAATTGTTATTAATTATACTTCTAGACATTTAAAATACTTACAAAGCACTTTTTCAATTTTTCCAATGACTAATTGATTGGGTATTCCACGTCCAGCTTCATAATCTTGAATTACTTGTGGTTTCTCATTAACTTTCTAAAATGATTAAGATTATATGAGTAAAAAACAATAATTTTAAATATATATTCAACTTACAGTAGCCAGCTCTTTTTGATTATAACCTTTAGCTTGTCGCCCTTGTTGTATAAGACGGCCTAAATCAATTGGCACTTTTTCATGTTTTAATTCCTCAGTTTCACGATCCAATTTTGCAGTATTTTTAGTTGTAACTTGATGTTTATTAGTAGCTGCACCCCCTAAATATTCATTAATAATAAAATCAATAATGTAAATTTATGTGAAATGATAATAGTTGTTAATAATACTAGAAATTGAAAAAATATTTATTTAAATCAATTATGGTGATCATAATCCTCTTAAAAATCCTAGTTTTATAATTAGATACTTTAATTAAGTACAGTAGAAATAGTTTATAATGAGTTATGACATTAATTGTACTAAAAAAAACAGAATAAATTATCTAAAATTTAAGGTCCTGGCTACTCTTAGCAAGAATATAATTTTTCATTGGTTTTTATGAAATTCTTATAATAACTAATAATTTTACAGGTGTAGATTCCTTTTTATATTCAGAAAAATATTTTATTTAAAATTAATTTATTTTTAACTTTTTTATTATGTAATATTTAAGTCAACTGCATCATTAAGTTTCTTAATAAATGGTTCGATTCTTCAACAAATTATCTGAGGACTTTTAATGATAAAATTGTAATTGTTTGTCTCGTTGGATTCAATGACTTAAGGCATTATTAATATCAAAACTGATCAATACTGAAATAATACAAAATTTAATTAAAAATTTATAGTTAAAATTATGAGATTGATATTATACAAATGATTAGATTTATAATGCAAAATATATTGAGTTTTTTTATGTGATGTAATATTATATATAATAATAGGTTATTAAAATATATATTTATTTAATTTTAATTATCATGAAATGTTTTTCTTAGTCTTTTGAACATTATTAAAATGGTTTCTACTATAATTGGTTATCAACTTTAAATTAAAATTATACTACTAAAATGGAAATTAAATATTCAAAAATCTTCTATTTTTTTGAAAAGCTTATTTACAATTTATACTTAATTAAGTATAATAAGTAAATTTTTTTAATTAAAAGAATATTTACATACATTTTTATATTTAATATAAATAAATATATTATATTTTTAACATCAAACAAACTATTCTAATGATAAACACACACTCAACAATCTAACAAATAGACTTAAATAAAGAACTTTCAAAATATAGATTGCAACAATTTCAAAAAAGCATGACATCCCTAATCTCAAATAACAGCTCATATGGAAAACCACTAAAAACATTATACAAAGAAAATAAATTGTACCACCCATTCATTGTTCCGACAATTCTCTTTCAATATCCGACAAAGAAAAAGCTGTTCTTTTTAATAACCACCTTGAAAATATTTTCCTGCTTCATACCGATATTAATCCAAATACTGAACTAGAATCGATATCCAGCTCTATAGATAGTCTTCTTCCTATGTCACTATCAATAAAACCAATCACCCCAGCAGAAATTAAAAATCAAATGAACAAACTACCAGCAAATAGAGCCCCAGGGTATGAATTAATAACAAATAAAATCTTAAAACAGCTTTTCTACAAGTCTATACTTTTTCTCACAGTTATATATAATGCAATGTTAAGACTGTCATACTTTCCTCCAATATGGAAATTTTCTGTCATAATAATGATACCTAAATCAGATAAACCCAAACATATAGTTAACTCATACAGACCTATTAGTCTTCTATCAACATGTGGTAAATTATTCGAAAAACTGCTAATAAAAAGATTATCTCTGATTGTATCTGAAAAAAAATAATATCTAATATCCAATTCGGTTATTGATCCTACCATTTTACAATTCATCAAATTCATAGATTAACGGACTACTTTTCATCATCATTAGAAACAAAACAATACTGCCCAGGAGCTTTCCTCAATGTAGCCCAGGCATTCGACAGTGTGGCACAATGGCCTCTTATTTAAATTAAAATCTTTTTTATCCACCCCTTACTGTCTTATACTCAAATCATACTAAAAAGAGATTTTTCACGGTAAGACACAGAAATTCGATATAAAACGAGCAGTAATCTGTCACCTCTACTGTATAATATTTTTACCTGTGACATTCCAAAAATTACAGATACCTACGCTGATGATACAACAATCTTATCAACAAAACATGACCCCCCCCCCCCCCAAATTGCAACACAAAAAGTGTAATACCATCTCAATCTAATCTCTTCACGGACAAAGAAATTGAAAATCAAACTAAATGAAACTAAATCAACATAAGTCAACTTCACCCTAAACCGAAAAGAATGCCCTCCCTGAATACTAAATAATAACCCTTTACCAAACTTGAACTCAATAAAATATTTAGGGATAACGCTTGACAAGACTCACGTGAAAAGAACACACCATAAAGAAAACAGTGCAACACATGCCTTCACCTTCTCCGCCCAATTTTGAAATCCAAACTTAGTTTAAAAAATAAAATTTTTATATATAAAGCCATATTAGCCCCCGTTTAGACGTATGGTATCCAAATATAGAGACAAGCCAAATCATCTAACATCTGCCCACTAGAAGCTTTTCAGTCAATAAGTCTATGAGTAATTACTGAATGTCTATGGTATGTCACAAATCTAAACTTATGCAACGATTTACATATTCTAACACCAACAAAATTAGCTCATCAATACTATAAAACATTTCACAACAAATTAACAAACAATAAAAATCCTCTTATTTCCCAAATGTCTTCTTTAACTATACCAGGAAATCCTATCAAACAACTAAAAAGAAAATGGCCTAGAGATTCCTTAAACCAATAAATAAATTTTCTATTTGATTTAATAATATTATTATTTTATTCTAAATAATAATACACGGTATTATTGAGGCCTCACTTTTTTTCCAATTTTTTTCATTAAACACAGTAATACTGTAATTATGTATAATATATAATAGGTATAGAATAATAAAACTTTCAAAACACATCTTATTAAACATTTATTATAAACAATAATTTCTAACCACTTTATTAATTGTAATTATACTATTAAATAACCAACAATAATTAAGTACCTGAATCATTATTTACTTAATCATTAAAATGTATTTTAAATATACATTATTCTTACTATTTCAAGGAATAATAATTAACTCGCATAGTATGAGCAATTTACAAAATAGGATTTGATAAACACATATATAAAATATACATTTTTACTTACATTTCACTTGAGTATCAATAACTGCACCCTCACGTCTAGCTTTGTTTATAGCCTAAAACAGTTCAAAAACAAATTAGGCAATTGCTACTTAAAACATATAAAATAATGAACCTGTTCCGATTTCATGGTTGAAGGCTTTGGTGGCCTTTTTCTCAATATTGTTACTGTATTCCAGTCGCCCATGATGATAATATTTTATTAGACTGTAAGACTGAAATTAAAATTTGATACCACAACGCGGTTCACACCACTTAGAAAATTAATATGAAATATCAATCGTTTATAATCTTTTAAAATTGATTTGATGAGAAATGGTGAAGCAGTAAGCACTGAACCGTCAAGCTAAGAGTAAATTTTTAATAATGCAGCCAGTGGCAATGATTTGTTTTTGTAAAATGTATTATTTAACCAAGTTGAATAACCACAATAGGTAATAGGTTATCGGTGTCGCGGTGAAGAGATGTTTCAGAAAACATATGACCGATAAAATCAAAGACATTGCAAACTTAGAAATTATTTGGGGGAAAAGTAATAAATTTAAATTTAAAATATAATATTCTCAAGCTCTAAAGCACACTCTACAAAAAATATTTTTATTTTACTAGGTTGAAAGTATTTTAAATTCTAAAACAGCGAGAAAAATAGATAACTACTCGGTGCTCTGCTTAACAGTTGTCAGTAAGTGTCAATAATAACATATCGTCACTGAATGAGTCAATATAATGACGTAATGTATATAAGTATGTATATAAAATGTATTAAATTTGAATTCAATGACGATAAATTGTTACATGTTAAATAATTTTGAGTAAAGACTCTGTAGCTTTATATATTTCTAAAAATATTCTGTATATCTTATGATATATTAAAATTACTACCATAAAATGTTTTTCTTACTATTAGTAATGCAGTAAGTTGAATTAATTTTTACCAAAAGCATTACATTTATAACCTATATTATGATTATTTAATTATTGCAATAATATATTACACTTATATCATAAATTATAATAGTTAACCTTTGAGCCAATACTGATTTACCGTAGAATGGAATGAAATATGAATAGATTCGTAGTATAAATGGCCAATATACAATATTAAATATTAGGTAGGTTTTATTTAATTAGGTAATCTAAATGTTTTGAAAAAGTCTTTATGTTTTGTGATTCTAAGATATAATAATGAACCTACACAAAAGTTCAGACCTTCACGAAAAATATTTTATAGAGATCGAAGTGGGGGGATAAAATGAAATGGCATCCTTCCACTTTTTATTTTTTACATTTTCTATTCATCCACTTATTTTGTCCAAAATAACACATCCCCTGATAAAATTATATACAAAGATTGTCTATAAGAGTTTAACTTATCTCCATATCTAATTACCCTCATGTGTGTAAAGTAAACCATAATATAAGAGAAGTACAAAAATGTTGGCATCCCTCCACTTATTTTGAGCAACTTCAACCACTGCTTATAGATATATACATATTATATTTAATTGATTTCTAAAAAAACAATTAAAAAATGTTTATAAATAGTTCAATAATCATGATATTTTTAAAATTATACTATGCATAGAAAACATTATTAAACATGTTAGATAAAATTTTCAAGTACCTATCTACCATCTATAGTTATTTGTTTTTGAATTATAATAAAATAAGAAAATAAATTTTGTTAAAAACTAGAGACTAAAAATTTTCAAGTAGACTTAAAATATAAATTATTCCTAATTTGTCATTATTTTTTTAAATTACTAAAATAAACACTGGGTATTTTTAGTTTTAACTCCAATATACTCTCTCACTCATTGTAACAACTAGATTTACTTTACTTTAAGAAAATATTTAGGTTAAAAATCTAAGCAATTTTACTACTCTAAAGCGTGATGACAAAATATAAAAAAAATATTAATATATTTCAGAATATTTTCTGAATTCTATAACTATTATAAAATTGAAAAAAAAATAGTTTATTATATTTAAACACTAAGTTATTTATTTAGGATATATATTCTTAGATTTTAATTATAACAAGAGTCAAGACAGACAAAAAAATGTTTGTTTTTAGATAGAAAACACTTCCAATATATTTTGACCTGATCTAGTAATAATGTCTTCCATCATACTTTACTTGTATTAGTTGTATCTTAAAACAACCTATATAAACTAATTAATATTGACAGTATTTAAGTACTATATTTTCTGTTTCTACAAAAATAATTTATTAATAAATAATTATGTTTGATGGCACCATTTTGAATTAAAATAAATTCTATAAATTCTAATATTGTTGGGTAATGTGCTTCAAACATTGAAACTTATTGTGACATAAGGTCCTTATTAAAAACTTGTCTATAAGCAAGGTGTACTAACTTATAAAAATACCCTTGTTTTGTAATTTAAGAGTGCCTCAAATTAAAATATGGAACATAGGTATATATCTAAATTTTTATCTAGACAACAATTATTAAGCAAGCTATTACATTGAGTTTTTATAATTATATATAATGTATACTGTTAATACCAAGTAAGGTAAGTATTGATCTGCCGAGTTTTAGAACTTTTACTATTTTCTCTACTAAAATATAGTCTACAGTTTTAATTGGAAACACATTGGTTTTATTTTGACATTATGTATATTGTATACAGTATACACCAATACCATTGGTTTTATGATATAAGATAAGTATATAATATATAAGTATATTATAAAATCAATGCCAATACTATACAAAAAAAGATATGCTACAATGTAGTGCGAAAGCACATTAACCATTGGTCTATATCATTGTTTATATGTAATCAAGAAAAAAATTATATTTTGTAATAACAAAGCAAAAAGCAAACTATAAATTATTGAACTTCTTTATTTTACCTTTAGATTTCATGCTATACTATTAATACACTTTTTTTTTAAATATTTTAAAACATACTGATTTATACATGTTAAATTTATTATCTTATATTGTATAATATATTTGTTATTAAAAAATTGTAATATTTCATTAAATGTTTACTAGAATATTATAAATTGTTTATAAACAAAATTGCATACTACATAAATAATATTAGGCCACTTTTCTTAATTTATTTAGTTTGTATTCTAACTCCAGGACAACCAATTGTACATATATTAGATTCAAAACCATAAATTTTTAATTCTTGCATACATGTTTCTATTTTAGACTTATGAATATTAGGAGGAACAAGACATATAGCATATCCTCCCATTCCAGCACCAGTTAACTTTGCATGAAGATCAAACTTTTTTAATATTGCCACAATAGCATCTAATGTTTCATGAGATACACCCAATGACATCAGCAAACCTTGATTCATATCCATGAGAGTCTAATTGAAAAAAAAATATTCATGTTATTCATATGAATATAACATTTAAATAGTAATTACTTACTTGCAAAACACTTATTTGTTGAAGCTCTTGTAAAGGATTTTGAGCCATTTGATCAATTGCATTAACTGCTGCATTTACGATTTGTCCTATAGAGTTAAAAATGGCATCAAGAATTGGTTGATACGTGTCATCATTGTATTTTGTGCGTACACTCTGCACCACATTTCCAGTAGATCTTTCCACACCTTAAAATAAATTATGGATCTCATTAACTACAAATTTTAAAACGCATAATCATCTTTTGGTGGAATTATATATTAATACATAGATAAGTTACTGTTTAGAATGAGTTTCATGGTCCATGATTGAATATACTTAAATAATTTAAGAGCAATTAAATAAATAATAGATAAATAGATTCAAAACATTTTTAGATAAATTATATTAGTAACTTTGTTGGATAATGTTCAGTTAACAAAGGACTACCTGTAGGTAATTCAAGGAAAAGGAAGAGTTATTGAATTAAGCTTGAAAAAGATTTTTTATTACATAAAAATGTTGAATTATAAAATTTACTTAAAAGCTAATAATAGATGGAAAAATATTAAAAACAAGCAGTTCAGTATACTTATTCTTAAACTTTTATTTAGTTTATTAGTAATAATTTGTTATTCAATAAATAATGTTTAAACAAACCTGAATATATCAAAAGAATTTTTAGTTCAGGAGCTTCCAATAATTTATGGCTATTAAGTTTTGTGTACTGAACCATTGTTCCATAAGTGCAAATAGTATTATCTAATCCTGAAGCTTTAGTATGAATAAAATTTTCTGCTAATAAAGCCCATCTATTTATCAAACATTTTTCCTAAAAAATAAACATGGTTATAATTTATATTAGTTACAAAAAAAAAAAAAAAGAACTGTGAAACATAATTAAGTATTTTTATTAGGTATATTGTAAAAATTAAAAGTAAATATTTACAAAAATATATTACCCCGTCACTGAATGTAAAGTTGTCAGTAAATGCCTCAATAATTAACAGGTTGTCACCACTTTGTGAATGAAAATCATCCAACAATGGATCAAATTGTATTTCTACATTAGAACTGATTTTAAACTTTACATAAGCCAAACAAGCTGCTACAAGAGAAACACAGTAAGATGCAGAGCTACCAGTTCCAGCACCTAACTTCAGTACAGATGTTATTTCAATAGTGAATGAAATGTTTTTCAATTGTTTCATATAGCATTTCAGAATTCCTCCAAAAATAAAATGTAAAACAGTAAGTGTTTTTTTTTCATTACCAGATAATGTATCTAATTCGTTGAGAAATGGTTCGTTTTTGTTTAATTTATTTAAGGTTTCTTGAAAATATGCAGTAGGTGAAAATGTTGGTTTTGTATCCAAATGAATAGTCAACATTCCTGAATAATTTATGAGTGGCAAAATAATGCGACATGGTATAGTATTCAAATCTTGGTTATTACAATAACTTTCAGTAAATGTTAATGTAGTATGTTGATCAATAGCACACGCGATTGCTGGTTTTCCATATACAACACTATGTTCACCAAAAAGGATTATTTTTCCTGGAGCTGTTACTTCAAACTGTATATTAGAACTCATTTTTTTAAATTAAAATAATATTAAAATATTGAGTCTTGATAAAATGTAATGTTAGGTCTTGTTCTATAAATTATAAATCAATTAAACTTTATTTAAATTATTCCATTGTTCTGTTGTCAATGTTTTCTGTGAGAATGCGTGTATTTCTTTTAATTCTTCAGCTAGTACTTCATTTACCATTCTGAAAAAAAAAACATAAATAGAAGGCATAAATTAATAAATTATAAATTAATATACTGGATGCCTAGTGTTTAAAAACGTTTCATATAATTTGTATACAAGAACATGTCTCTAGTTTTTAGACACATTATATTAGTGTTTCAACCAAGTAGTACTTAACCAACGTCTGTAATAAAAATAAATTTATAATTATGTAATAATATAATTACTTATAAGTGATTTATAAATAATTTATAACTAGACTCTTGACCAACTTTCTTTTAATTATCTATAACTATATTAAAACTCAATATAAAAGGCAAACAAAATACAATTTAAAAAAAAACTTGATAGACAATTCTTAAATTTAATGAATAAGTATTAAAATATTGATAAAAATGTTCAATTTTTAATTATACTTTGACAAGACTTTACTTATTAAATAAAAAAATGACCTTTGATAACTTAAAATAATTAAAAATATGTCAGAACATAATGTGTACTCTCTTTACGTTTGATACATATTAATATAATTATTCTTTTTATTACTGGTTTTTAAAACAAACAAATAAATTATAGTTTAAGATACTAGAAACTCATGAAATAATTACTTTTATTAATACAATTAATTTATAAAAATCTTTCATTAACACACATGTAATTTCCTTAAAAATGTAAATAAAAAAAAAAAGCATACTTGTTAATGGAAATCTTTTGAACACTTTATCTGAAGCATATTTAAAGTATAAAAAAATGATACAATAAACCTATACACTAAACAAATAATCATAATACATTTTCTTTAGTAATATTTTAAAATAAATTAAATTATTATTTTTTTTTGTAATTATGACTTAAAGACCAATGTTAATGTTTAATAATTTAAAACCATAACAATAATTATGATAATTATTCTTGTGGAGTACTGTAAATAGAATATAAAAATAGATATCCTTAGTTAAAACACTTCAAAAAATAATGAATCTAGGTTGTACAACTCAGCAATATATTTATAATTAATTTACATTAATGAAGTATATAGCTAAGATTTAGATTATAAAAATGATTTATTCATTATTATATTAAATAAATTGATTTTTTAAAATTAACTATCAAAAATTATATTATTTGTTTACTAAAAATTTAATTTGATAACTCAGAACATCTGTAATATATTTTGCTAACAATAATTTATTAATATTGTTAATAAATTATAATATTAATTAGTGTATAAATACATTATAAATTATAATTAATTTCCAATGAAATAATGATATGTACTAATGATTTAATAATAAGTGTAACAGATAATAGTCACTTAAAAACTACTCACCGATGACGTTGTAATAATGTTTTACCATTAAATTTATCAGATACCACAACTACACTAAATTTAGCACCACATCCATCGGAATCATCATTGACAGACTAAAATTAAAAATTCATAAAATAAATTAATGTTTATATATCATTGAAAAATGTTTATTAAACCAATACTATATTACTCTAAATAAAAATGTTGGTTAGATTATATTATTTTTTTAACGTTGGGTTTCAATAATAACATATAACTCATAAAATAAAAATAATTTATGCAGTTTTGTCTTAATAGATATATAATGGATATTAATAAATAGATAATATACTATATTTTATTAGTTATTACACATTTTACGATATTTGTATAACTATTTACATTTTTTTAATCAATTATATATTATTTGGATAACCATATTTTATTTATTAAACCTTTTATTTATATCATGAACATTCAAAGTTCAAGCATATACCATGACATAGACATGTATATTAAACTAAGCTATTATATTTTACTGTTTTTATGTTAACTTAATAGTAAAAATAATTAGTAAAGTAAATGATAGATCATTCTATTTTATTGACTCATACAGATATGTTTTTCTTAGCAATATAATTTTGAAAATATTGAATAAGAAATTAAAATTGAGTTAATTTTTAGAAAATTCATATAATTATGTACCTATACATCATAAATATCATCTATTTTCAATATCTAATAATTAATATGTCATCTAAAATTATGACTAAATATGCTCATTACAGTAATATAGTCATGTTCATTGGCAAAATGTATATTAAATTTTACTTTTATTTTGTCAAATATTATTATTTATTACACTGAATAAACATTGGAATCCAATAATGATGATATTATAAATGTTTTTAATGCTTTAACATTATTTTCTAAAGAATATATTATGTTCTGTGTATATTTTTTCTAATATAATATAAGCTATAGGTAAATTAAAAAAATAAAAATAATATTTTCTCGTTGACATAATTCATTACTTTATATTTAATAATTGTATAACAAATAGTATAACCATTGATATCAAATAAAATATTAATAATAATGCCATATTTATAAGTTTACCAATTTATTTAAAACATTTGGTTTTCTTAAAACTACATGAAAATAATTTTTTCTATAAATAATGTATTTTCAGTATACAAAACAAATTATACAATTATGGATAACTGACAAATTTACAATTACATACAATTTTAAAACTAGACAAAATTATAAATTAATATCCAATACATGCAATATACATCTTAAACATTTAAACAAATTATCAAGTTTAAACTTTTAGGATAAATTAAAATATTCACTTTGAAAAAATATTAGGTAATTCATAATATACATTTATAATATTCATGAAAATCAAATAAAAAAAATCCAATAATAGATCAAATCTATTTTAAGTAAGCTAATATAATTTTTTTTTTGGATTATGTAGTATTAATTGACTATAATTAAAATAGATTAAAAATAAAATAAAATGCATACAACTATAAACAGATATAAACAATGACCATAAATGTGGATATTTCTGGGGAGGTTTTAATGCTAAGGCACAAAAAGTTAATACTGCACAGCCAAATAATGAAAAATTACGTAATAAATTTAATTTTGATGTATTTTTTTTATGTGAAATTAATTGTTCAATATTATTGTAGACTATAAAATATATTAATGATAAAGAAATGAATGGGACCAATAAATTATCCCTTATCAATAAAGGAAGCATACTAAATGTTGTCAACGACAAAAACCAAGTACACATAAATGTATTTTGAGGAGCATACATTAAAACTGGTATGGCAACCAAAAGTATACTTTTTTCGTGAACTTGAAAAGAAAATAGGAAAAAAGACAATGAACAATTAATTAGTGAAATTAAAAATTTTATTTTAGAAGGATTTTTTAAAAGATTTAGGCAAGTGGGCAATACTGAAATTAATGTCGTTAATAAGCATAACATAGCCATGGTTTGATTATTAATATTCCTCAACTTATACAGAACATTAATTAGACACCATAAGTTGGAAACTTTGTCTTCAAAAACACCTCGTTCTAACGGGAAAATTCTATGTATGATTTGGAATACTTGTTCAGTGTCACTAATGAAAGGAAGCCATAATACTAGAAATGTTATCGTAACACTCAATACAAGAATAGATAATGTCTTTAAAGCTTTCATGAATGAATGTTTCTTATATATTTCATAAACAATTCCAATATAATAAAAGAAAAATGGCAAAGCATGGTATAACTCCATTTGCTTGTAGTTTAGAGCCATACTGAATAAAAGGCAAGTAAGGATAGTTTTGTTGGCAAACACACAAGCAACACTTGCTACAAATAAACCTAGAGAAACACAATTATATTGGAAATGTCCATGATCTATTAATATTAATCCAGGATAGAACAATGTTAATGCAATGATCATTGTTTGACTTATTTGGTTATTATTCGTAATTTTAAAAAACTTTCTAAAAAACCAACTAACAGCCGGTATAAATATCAACAGGTCAACTATAAGCACAGAATACCTCATGAGTAGCTTATGAAAATTTGATTCAAAACCTCTAGATGTATTAAGCTGGACGGACTCTGGAAGAAGTTTTTTAAATACTAAACCATTTAAATAACTATGGTAGGCTGTTAAAGGTGGATAATCAAGACCCCAGTATAATAAATCATTGTTGGATGAATTAAAATACCATTGAGTGGTTGATAGAGAAATTGTAACTTCCATCCAATGCCGTTGGGCTTCATAATCACCATACATCGGAGTTTTTGATTTTCCAGAATAATCATGCAAGCTGACAAACCAACGAAATAATACAGCAATCATTAAAATAAGTTTCTCATCGAGTACTTTTTTCAAGTATATAGGTATTAAGTTTTTGTAAATCATTGTATCACAATGTAAACTCATAAATCAAAATGAGACACTTGCTTTCACGAAAAATGATGATTGTTCTGGAAAAAGAAAAATGGAAATTGTAAATAATATGGGCTTTATATATTTTAAATATGATGTAAAAAAATTTAATACATTTTTTATATCCAAACAAAAATTAAGTAAATTAATTCTTTAATTTTTGTTTAGTTTTCATTTTTTTACTGTAATGATGTTTTAGTCTTGATGTATTTTTTTTTTAACAAATTATATTAAATATAATATACTATATTTCAAGACATTTATGTATCTTGGTAAATATATTACTTTAAAAAATACAGGACACATGATAACTTAATTAAATATACTATATTAAACGAGACCAGTCTGTTTTCGAAAATTTAATATTTATAAGATGTTATTTTATTATTATGTATTTTAAAAATTCAATTATTATAATTAACAATATCTTTAAAATTCAAGTTCAAATAAATAATACATTAATAACTTCATACAATTTTTTTAATTTTAATTTTAATATTTGTATTATATTTCTAAAAATTATCATTAAATATAAAAGTTAAGGTAATTAATTTGAAAACAAACTTAATTATTCACACTTGTTTTAATTTTCTTCTTTTTAGGTTTGACTGCAATAGCTGATCGTACTTTGAAAACTGCTTCACAAGTTGTGCAAATAGGACTTATTTTACAATAAATAGTTAAACATAATGAACACACAAAACCAATTGCTGTTAGGGTTCCATGGCAAAAACAAAAAGGTCGGAAGTCTAACTGAGGAGCTAATGGTATGACTAATTTTTTTCTAGATGAAGGTTCCGTTAAAAATATCCATTGTAAATACAGTAATAATCCTTCTAATTTAGGCATACGAAAATATGAACCTTCTGTGATATAACATGCTTGTTTTAATAGAGTGACATCATGGGTAAGACTACAAACATCGATAGCTACATTTTGTTTTTGAGCTGTGAAAAATGTATTCATACAACGTATGTATTTGTCTCCTTCATTATCACAACCAGATATAATTAATATTCTTGAATTCATTGTTTCGCCCGGAAATAAATTATTTTGTAATCTGTTTATATAGCATAAAGCTTTGGCACAAGATGCTCCAAACACAGTATCTCTAGACATATGAGGTTCTTCAGCTGCATCCTTGAGGAATTTCACTATATTAAATTTGATAGAACGATCTATATGACTAAATAATTCATATTGGCTTCCACCCATTTTACAACTACTAACTGTTTTCTTTTTAAAATCGAGTTCATCTTGATCAGAATAAATAAAATCACAACTATTTGGATCTGATGCAAGCACTGCAACTTTATTATGGGTCCGAAGCATTAGATGAGAATTAGCAAAAGCAACAACAGAACTTAGTATGGATGATAGCTTTATTTCTCCACTAAGCAAAGTATCTTGAGCTGGATTAACATCAAGGATTATTACCAGAAGACTGGAAAAAATTTTCTTTGGTGTTTCTGATTGCATTCCGCTTGCATTTACTATCGATCCAAACTCAAATTTGAACAATTCACCAGTTAAATTACATACAATATTTTGTTTTTAGATAATTAAAACAATACTTATTAGTTATATTCAAAATTAAACCCGGTAATAAATTATTCGAACGGAAGTCGGAAAGTCGTAATTTTAAATAATAAAATAATAAATACTATATTAATAATTTAATTTGTTTAATTTTAACCTTTAGTATTCATGAATAACGACCAAAAAATAGAAAATTAGAAAATACTAACATTATAGTAGATTAAACGCCGAACTCCGAATAGTCCGAATGGCGAATGCCCGATGCCGCACAAGGCACAACTGCCGCAGCCAATTAGAATACTCAAGGCCTAAGACTCTATAAAAAAATGATAAAATGATAAGTTACAATGTCTTAGAACGATTTGACGCATCGTATATTTTCAAAACTAAGCTTAGATAAATTATTTAATGATAATAATTCGAATTTTTTTTCATTATATAATATATATATATATATATATATATTATATTTACATATTTTATTATCTATAAACTTATTTATTTAGAATTTAGATAAACATAAAATGGCAGCTGCAGCAACAGTTGCTGCCATCGCCTAGTAGGTAAACACTATCTATTATCTAATATTTAATTTATAGTAATCATTATTTACTGTATGTAAAGAACTAAAGAGTAAAGATAAATCAATGATATAATATACTGGTAATATACTAATATCCGTTAAAAATAAATGTATACTGTACAGTACAAAAGATATAATTATACACATAACGGACGACAGCAGTAGGCACTAGGCAGACAAGCTAATCAGAATAAGTATTATGCATAACAAAAACTATGGAAACTGAAAATATCCCAAGAATCTTGCATGGTACACAATTTAAGACACAAGACGTTAAGAAAAAACTGACAATATTTTGATTTTCGAAAAGTATCCATGTTTTTGAAATCTTTTTTTATATAATTAAAAATGATTACCAAATACCGTTTTTGATAAAAGCAAAATATTCTATGAATTTCAAATGATATGATACATTGATACAATTAAAATTTTGAACTATAAGCCATTAATTCATAAGCTAATAACTTGTATGTATTTATAATTTTGAGGAGTAGAATTGTAAATCGACATATGCTCTGTTAAATTAATTAAACAATTATATTTTATAAATCAGAAGTTTATAATTAATAAAATACTAGTTCAAAATTTTCTGCTTTGGAGTATGATATGAAAAATGTACATTAGTCATTTGTAATTACTCCAAGCTGTATACAAAAAAAAAAGAAATGTTTGGGATAGTAAGTAATTATTGTTTAAATAATCACTTAACATATCTACTATTTTTGATCAAACAATTTTCTGAACTACTGCACTTTCATAAATGGTATATGATACAATTTTCAATCCATAACTTTAATAATATTATAAATATCTTCATACGTATCTAGTATCTACACAGTGTTATTAAAAAATCAGAGAAATTTTACTTTCTTAGATTAGATAGTATATTATTTATTAGTAAATAATATGATAATAAAATAGCATTTTTAAAGTCCACAATAAAATTATAGTTTATGGAGTTTATTTAATTATACTATTTTTAAAATATTAATAATCTGATAATTCCTTACTTTTTGTTACACTTTACTATGCATTTATAAAATCATGACAATAATTTATATTGTTTCTATAAAATGTTGATAAATCTAATAATCTGGTAACAAATCGAAATAATTGCTTGGAGAATACCTACTTTACAATAAATATTATATTCATTATTAGCTTTTATGAAAAAATCTAATTATATTATGATATATTCCTTAAAAAATTATTAAAAAAATCACTAGGTACTTTATTAAATTGGACGTATTATAATTATAATTATGGACTTTGCCAAGTCTTAAAATAAATAAGGTCATGAAGTTCAATTAATTCTTTATTTTTAATTCTATAAATTAGTGAACCTCACATACAGTGAATTAATTTAAGTTTTTAAAATATTGATCAAAAATAGAAAAGTTTTTTGTTGGGCATGTTTTTCCCTGCGAGTGAAAATTCCTAGTTAATGATATTAATTAGATTATAAAAAAAAAGTTGTTTTTTTTTACTCTATTCAAACAATATGAAGACTATAATAACTTATAAATTAAATAGGTAATATTAAATGATATATGTTGTTTTTTGAATCAACAACTTATAATTTGAATATTATACATAATGTGTGCATTATTTCTATATAAAATGTATTTATTTATTATTTATTTTTATTACATACAAGTTACATTAATTTTAAATAAAACTTAATTAAACATTATAATTCTTATAATAAAAAATGAGTAAAAATTCTAAAGTACCTATATAGTCCAATACTTTTTACTTCCTATAGGCTTTGGTAAATAATATTTAAAATAAAATTAGAGAAACTGATAAGCTATTTATTTATTATTCCCTACATATAATTAATTATCTATACATGTATACACAACCACATTACATAAATATGATATATTCTAAAAACAGTACTTATTTCTATAAAATAAGTTATTATTTAAGACAAGTATTTTTAGTTTTTAATACCAAATAACTCTAACAATAAAATAATTAAGGAAATATTATTATAATAAATTGTAAGAATTACAAGATTTCAATGGATTAAAAATATTGTGTTAACATGATTTACTGCTTAGTAAAACTATATACGAAATAAATAAAAAAAAACTATTTTAATTATTAATACAGTATTAAATTGAACTTACCACGTACGATGCGTCAAGTGCAACTGTTAATTTAGATTTTAATAAATCTTCACTAATGGTCATTACAGCAAGTAATACAAAATATAATTTAATTGAAAACAGTGTGATGAAAAATATCGAGTGATCTATAGTTTAATACAACACTCGAGCCCTACTAAGTATTCGAATAATTAAACACTCGAACACGACTCTAGTACTCTACTCAATAGAGTAATTATATTATAACAGCATAAACATAAACGCCATAAAGTACAAAAATACGAATTACATTAATTACAATTTTTTTTTTTTATTCAAATAAAATTTATCATTAAACTCTGATAATTTAATTTACTGATTAAAAACAGTGAAGCAGTATCACAATGACCAATCGGAATACAAGGAATACGACACGACAAACGACGTAGCTATAATAAGTCTGTTAACGCATGTATTTTAGTGTTTACTATACAGAACAGGATGAGGATAATGGGTTACCAACATTTTGTAACCATGTACCTATTCAATATTCGGAATCTCATTTCATATTTATTTAGTGTTTACCAAAATGTTAAAACTTATGGGTTATGAACGTTATGGTATTGAATCAACACTGTCGATTTGATGACCGTGTTGACCGTGTAACGTGTTACTTGTTAAGCACAGTTCACACGAAATCCAGTGATTTGTATGTTGTATCATTTTACACTTATATCCCGATAACGGCGATAACTTTTTTTTATATTTATATGTATCAACAATTAATATATTAATATATTGTATTACGTATATATTATGACTTATGATCCTTGGATTAGTGTAGTGTGATGAATGAACTCAATGAACTAAATGAGCATTGAACTAGGCTATGCTTAGTATGCTTCATAATTCTTCATCTTCGTCCGAAGAATCATATGATCCATTATAGAATAAGTTCGTTATAAGTTATAACGCGTTATAATCTCTCTGGTGTGTGCTGATTATGTTGCTGTTACTAGTATCTATAACCTAACCGAATTAATATTTTTATCATTATTATTTAAAATTTAAGCATTAACGATTAAGCAATAGGTAAATAATAAAATATTTAAATTTTCATCGTTAATGAAATTCAAAGTTGTGATTTCTAATTTTCAAGTACTAACTTAACCAAAAAATTTCATTTGCATTTGAGTATCATTAAAATAATATTATTTCCGTTTATTAACTTATAAAAATGATGACTATGAAAACATACATTTCAATTAGAAATTATTCAAGAATGTTTCTTCAAAGGAAACTATTCAAACAAAAATTGTATTTTAGTATACAAAATCAAATAAAAATGAATTCAACAGATGATAGACCGATATCAGGAGAATTTTTCGTTTCAAAATTATTGGACAGTTTAAAAATACCTTACAAAAATCAATTTACTTGCTTATTAATAAGATGCAGTTTTTGTAATAACACATCTTTATACATAAATAAAATTACTGGTAATTAGTTTTATAAAAAAATGCTGAACAACTAACTTTTGATATATTTGTACTTATTGAATAATATAGTATTTACTATTTAAATGTTTTAGGTTGGTTTATTTGTACACATTGTTTGAGGTATGGCAATTGGTCAATATTTAAGTCACACGCAAAAAAAAATGATAAGATTTGTGTACCCACTCCAAAGAATTTTGAAGCTGTTAAAGATTTTAACAACAAGACTGATAATTTAATAAATTTTAAATTATTAAAAACTAGTGATAAAAAGAGTATTTTAAAATCTCTTAATATGGAGGTAATAGTTCTATACTATTTTAAGTCCTTATAAAATATGAATTCAATATTAAATAAATAACTTATATAAATATTTCAATTTAAAGTAAAATTAAGAACTGTAGGAAGTCTATAACATGATATATCTGTAAAAGATGCCATTAGTTTGTTTATTTATTATTTAATTTTTATCAATTTAAAACTTACCTGTAAATTGAACGTTTACTTATAAGTTATTACTTCATTTTATAAATAAGCTATTGATCTATTTTAACAGAAGTGTTTTATAGTTCAAGTAGAATATTATTAAATAAATAGTAAATAATCAATCGATAATGATTAATAAATAAATATTAATTTGTATGTTCACTCAAAAAATTTTACTTGTCATGATCATGAATATATGATTAACATTTATTGGCATAATTAAAAATGTGGGTAAAAATAAATAAAATTACCCTGATCATTATTTATTTTATTAAAAAATGTGTAAATATGCTCACTTTTTTATCCTTTTTATTCATATTTCTAATTTTTTTTTTTGATAATAGTATAAAAGATATACATATATTATAATTTTAAGTATTAAGTGGTTTAGATAACTTAAAATAAATAAAATTCAAAATATTATTTCTAGTAACAATTTAAATCTAAGTTTAGGTCATTATTTTAGAAATTAATTTATTAATTTCCATTAATTATCTAGATCAGAGATTCCAAACTATGGATCTCGATCATATTTTTAGTGGGCCACGGATTATGTGTGTTATATTTTTAAATAATAATTTTTTTTAGACATATAGTCATTGATTCAATATTTTTGTGGGTCACCAAAATTTAAATAATTTCTAAAATGGGCCGTGCTATAAAAAGTTAGGGATCCTCTGATTTAGATAGTTATGTAAGTTTTAAAACATTCTAACAATTATGATGTTTATTTTACAGGATTTAAAATTACAATACCTTGATCATATTCCAGGTTTATATGTTAATTCAGAAAATAGTTCCTTGTACTTGACTATGATGCTTGATAATAAAACTATTGTTGGATATAAAGAAATTAAATTGGATAATAGTCTTAATCAAAATACTGTTCCAGATGATTGTTGCTGGGGAATAGCTAAAGTTCCTCCATTAACTTCAAATCATAGTCAAAGTGCAATTGTTGTTGATGATTTTAAACATTTATTAGTATTAGCCGGGCATCAATCATCTCACCATATTATTTGCTTACCTCATGGTATTTACATTATTTTATATTATGTTTATTAATAATGTTTTTCTGAGTTTAATTTACTAATAAATTATCAATATCAAAATATTATTATTTATTTAGATAAACAGAATCAATTATAGTAAAATTCAATAATGTTTCTTTGATTAAAATGTATTTTATATTTTAAGTTAATTTATTATAACAATCACTCCAATCCATTTCATCAAAATGTTTATTAAAATTGTATAACCATTAAACTTATATTTTCATAAATTTTATTTGTATACTGTTTATTAATCATAAATAATAATATTCTAAAAATTTGTTTTAATATTTTTTATTTTTAAGGTGTGCAAAAATTACCACAAGAATTATTACCATCTTTAGAATATTTCAATAGATTAATCTTATGGTTTGGAAATGATCAAATTGCATGGAATTCAGCAAGAACATTTGCTAAGAAGTTAATAGAAAGTAGATGTTATTTTATAAGGCCTACTGATGATCAGCCATCCCCTTATTTAGCATATAAACATGGTTTAAATATTGAGAAAATACTTAAAACTGCTGATAAAATGGTTCATCCTAGTATTATTCAATTTTCAACAATACGTAATGAAGTTTATGCAGAGTTACAAAATCATGACAAGGTTAAGAAAAAAAATATAAATAGAATAAATATTAATAATTAAAGAACTTTGTTTAGACTCTTGGAATGAAATGGACTAAATTTCCGGCATTAAATAAGATTATTGGAGGCCATCGCCGTGGAGAACTTACTTTATTAACTGGTCCAACAGGATCAGGAAAAACAACTTTCATAAGTGAATATTCATTAGATTTAGCTGAACAAGGTGTAAGTAATTAAATAATTTTTAATTGGATGTTTAAACACTTTTAGTTTACAATCTATGAACTTGTATGTATCAAAAAGTGATAAAAAAGTATTCATTGTCTAACCCTAGTTCAATTTTCTTTTAAGTATTTTTTTAAATTAATTAATTTGTTTTAAATTGTATATTATAGTATACATTTTAATTTTATTTATTATAACATGATTGTAGATCCCCTTTTTTTACTTAATAATATAAATATTATTATTAAAAACATCATTGCACTTAATCTATTTAAAAGTAAACTACACTACTTGGTTAGGAGACTTGGATGTTTAATTAATTTCAAATTTCTTGACGATAACATTTTTCCATGTGGCACTTCCAAAATATCTGTTTTAAATATAAACATTTTAGTAATAATTATTAATTTGTTTTATCTCTTATTACATTTAATTACCAACCTAAATGAGTACACAATATTTTTATAAAAATTACAAATATTTTATAACATTTTGTCATTTTTTATTGTATGTGTATAGTTACCAACATTATGGGGAAGTTTTGAAATACGTAACCAACGTTTAGCAAAAATCATGCTTCAACAATTTGCTAAGGAACCTGTGCATCTTAATTTAGACTTATTCGACAACTTAGCAGATCAATTTGAAAAGCTTCCACTGTACTTTTTAACTTTTCATGGCCCTCAACCACTAAATATGGTGATGGACGTAAGTTGTATTTAAGAAAAGTTAATTTATATGTCAAAACATGTTAATTTTTTTAAGCTTTGAATATTAAAGAAAATAAATATCCAACTTTTTAATAAAATATACAAGTGTGTATTATAGATAAAAAAAAATAATTAATGACCATGGGTGCATTGAAAAAAAATAAAATTTTAATTAATTAATAATATTGTCTAATTGTTTAAAACTTAAAAGTTTTTTTCATTTAATAATCAATATTTTTAAATATTATTTTATGTACAACATTAAGAAGATATAGGTAAATATCATAGTTTTTAATTTAATTTTTATTTTATTTAGGTATTCCTGAAAACTTTACAAAATTATAAATTTGTTTATTTAAAATTATCCTAGTTCATTATAATATATATATTATACTTTCACTTTGTTATTATTAGGCTGTGATGAATGCTGTTTATGTACATGATATTGGACATGTGATCATTGATAATGTACAGTTTATGATGGGCATTGGTGCCAAATATGATATGGGTTCAGAACGATTTTGGCAACAAGATTCAATTATAGCAGAGTTTAGGAGATTTGCTACATATTCAAACTGTCATGTGACATTAGTAATGCATCCTAGAAAAGAAAAAGACGTCGAACAATTGTCCATTAATTCTATTTTTGGTACTGCTAAAGCTACTCAAGAAGCTGATAATATTCTTATAATTCAAAATAAGGTTATGGAATCTTTACAAATTAAAAAATATCTACAGGTATAAATATAATACTGTTTTAGTTGCAGATAGTATAAATAAATAATATTTTTTTCAGATTTCTAAAAATCGATATAGTGGTAACCTTGGAGTAATGTCTTTAGAATTCAATAAACAAAGTTTAAGTTTTTCACAACAAAAGGAATAATAATATAATATTTATAAGTTGCTTGTTTTGTGTAATACTTATAAAACAATATATCAGATAAATATATGTATGTAATTTAAATATTTTTGTGTACAATTTTTAATAATTTTTTCCTTTTATGCATAAATATTTAACAATAATTATAAAACCCTCATTTTTAAATGTTTTTCTGTTTGACTCCAGCAACAGTAATCAGAATCCATACCTACTATAACAAATATCTTTATTATTAAATACTGTTCTTATTGTTTACCTTTAAAAGATTGCAATTGATCTAAAATTTTAATTTTAATATATTTTCATACCAATAAAAATTTGTTATTATTTTAAAGGTATACCTTTGTTTAATAATATAGTGTTGAAAAAAAAAAATAGAAATATAAATGAAAATAATAAACTTCATTTAATGATATTCATATTACACAAAATGTTCATTGAAATCTTCCTTTCTTTTTGAAAATTTTTTATTAAAATTTACAATTAAGAAAATACATTATACATTATAAAGGTTAATAAAATTTTAAATGTATAATATTGCCTGTAAACTGTTTAACCAAGTATTGCTTTTTTATTAATCACCAATTAATTACTAAGTTCATAGTCATATGATATAAATCAAATAATAAATTTATCATATAAAGCTATAAACAGTAAATTATTTATGAGATCAAGAGAAATCTATGAAGGTCTGTCTTCTCTAAATATTAGTATTGATATAAAAAATAACATCAAGTTAGAAAATGAATTCAATATAAGTTCATCATTTCTTATTTTGGTTAGGCATCTAATTATTTTCATAGTATTTTTTTTCATTTAATGAAAATGAAAAAAATTTAATTATTCAGTCAATAGACATACATAATATAATTAATAGAACTCTGATTTCGCAGCAAAATAAAACTTAAAAAAAAAAAATTATTAAAATTAATTCTAAAAAAACAAATTTAAATTAAATATTAAAAAAATAATTTACAACTATAGGTATATTTGGTTTAGTTACTTTTATTAAAACTCATCCTATTGAGTGCTAGTATATTTTTTTCAACAGAAAATAACCTCTCCACATCAACTAGTTATTGGAGTATAAATCAATTTATATAAATAAAATAATTAATTTTAATGATATTGTTTTACATTAATGTTAAGTGCAGTACTGTTTAATATGCTATTGATTTTTTGAAATTCTAAGTACCTACTCATTATATATTTATCGATCTTACACATATTCATTGAATTCTTTTACGATATATTTTTTTAATTTGATATTTTAATTTTCAATTTTTGACATTTTACGATTAAATTTTACAAAACACTATACCTTACTGTTTGATATTTACCAATCAACTAACGTAATTTCAAATTAGAACGTGCTATAAAAATATTTAGATATAATTTAGATATTTTTTTCTTTTTTTAAGTCGTAAATAAAATTGTAATAACAGTCATTTTGATAAACTATAATTTTGGTACAACAATGATAGTTATTTTTCAATCATCTATTTATTAGTTAATTACTGACATTTACACTGATTTTACAATTTCTAGCAATAATGAGTTGAGGTATACTCATATATATATAAGTTGGGGTTGTAGTAATATACACAGAAAAATGATAATTTTTCATGAAAATTATGTAAAAATTAAAAAATAAATAAAGATTCAAAATGAGGAAAAAAGCAAAATAAACTTAACTTCATTGAAATTAGAATGATTCAAAAATCAAAATATATTTATACATGAATAAAAATTATTTTTCTTGTATAATTCCATCAAAATTCAAAAGAAACATTTGCTACAAAATCCTAACCTAATAAATAATAATCATAAAATACTACGACTTAAATAGTTCACAATAAAGACAGCATCTTACATTATAACTAAAATTATAGACAAAATGTTTTAAAAATGCACAAACTTATGTCTTATTGTCTTAACATAATATACTTAGATTTTATATGAATAAAATGTAGACTATTTTGATAGTGAATTAAATACGTCATGGCAATTGATGTATATCTAAATACCTATCCAGAACGCCGTGTGAATGTGTTATCACAATTTTATGATTAAAACATAGAGTAGAATAAAATAATTTAATTAAGATGCATTAAAAAAATAATATTACTGTTGAATGTCGGCATTGAGCTGTGAATGTTTAGCTATTATAACTAAGTCTTAAAATGAAAAAAATATAAATAAATAAATAATAGGTACTGTAATATTATTTATAATTTATTTATTTATTAAAAAATAAAGTCTTCCTTAAACTTATTGAGTATTGTTAGAGAACTATATAACTCAATAGTACAGTATTAAAAGTTGAGATTATATTTGCTAATATTTCTAAATTCTTAGATTAATTTTATTTTTAAAATATGTGCTGTCCATAGTGTCCATACCCGTTATTATATTTTATAAAAAAATTCCAAAGATGTTCTACAAGTGATAAAGGTCTTTGGAATTAAAGATTGACTAATCTGATTAGGGCAGTATAACTTTTGTTTTAATTTTTTGAATTTTTTAATATTAGTCTCCATTTAATATAATGTTATTGTAAAGTTTTTATTTATTGGTGCTTTTTAATAAAATGTGTTCATCAAATTATATTTGGATAATTTTAAAAACATATGATTTGTCTCAATCGTCTCTGTCTATTCCAATTGGATCTACAAACACTGTCTATGCCAAAATTTAGGTATAATAGCTTAATAGCCTTAATACATTAAAATACTATAATTAGAGCATAGATTAGAATTTTATTGAATTTAAATTGCCATTTGCTATCATTTATTATCAAATCAATAAGAAAAATTTTAAATTTTTAACCATTTTAACATTGTTAATGAACTGGCAAATCAATAAACAAGTAATTATCATATAAATTTGAGGAAAAGAAAACCTAACAACTAACTTGTTACACTGATAATAGCTATTGAATTTAGAATGGTTTGATTACTTTTTTTTTTTTTTTTTCTTTATTGGAAATATACAATCTGTACCTATGAGGCACAATAAGTACATGCGATGAGAGATACATATATATACAATTAACATTAGTACTAGATTAAATATTTGCTAGATGTTTAGTTTATATTTAGACATGTAGTTGAATATAGTTATTGAAGACATTAATGCTCTTATAAGCATTTATCATATAGTTGTGTCATAAAATGAACTCTAATATATTAGAGCGATGCATACATTTTTAATTTTTGTTTTTCATAAGAATGATCGAGTGATTTTAATAAATGCACTATATTTTATTTTACATTTTTATAATTTATCAACGTTTTAATTAATTTATATGTTAACTCCTCTATTACCTTATATTTTATATTTAAGTCATTATTATAAATTAAATTAATGAGTGTCTATAATAGTGTAAACACAATATATTAATCTTATTATTTTTTTTATTAAAAAAAAATTTTAAATATTGTAATACATGTTTATTAATAGTTGATAATCTTTAAAATTTTGTACTCCCAAAAAAATTATTTTTGTATTTAAAAAAATCTTAGTCAAAACAACAAAAAATAAAAATAAAATAAAATTCAATTTTTTAAATTTTAATATTTTTATTAATAGTTGATAAGGGTTAACATTTTTTTAAAATTATTTTTCAGAACATCTTTTACCAAAAAGGTGTCAACCAATAACAGTCATAATTTATTTATTTATTGTAAACTGAATAAAAATGAATAGATGTATTGAGCGATACACCCTATGTACAAATCAGCCCCTATTTGCTTGCACTTTAGTTTTATTTAAGAATAAACTTGCTTCTATGTTAATTGATTATGATAAATTGATAAGCCCATTTTGTTTTAAAAAATGTATAGTTTTAGTTGTATAATTACACAAAACTGATTTGAGTCACCCATACTTGTTTATATTTTGATCATGGTTTAATAATAACCAGAGTAGTATTCTGGCAGAATTGGAATGAATGGTAAACCTATTTCTAAGTTTACTAACTTATGTCTTCAAAAAACATTGAAATGATTTTTTTTTTAAATATTTAATATTTTGTAAAGTATTAATCTATACCTAATTTTGTTGTATTTTATTTTTATAATATTTTCCTCACATATTTTTTTATATTTTTCTTAAGGAATAAATGGATGCATTCATTTTACCACTTATACAAAACAAAAAATCATTTCTTCACAATGTTTTTTATAAACCCATACAGAATCAATCATTGTACAAACTCTAGTAATTGTCAAGATAAATGATTTAAAATGGGAACATTGCAGTATTTTTCTTATTCAAAAGTAAGAATATTATGGTAGTAATAATAGTAAATTATTTATTTTGAATATTTTTTAGATATCTTAATTTTGTGCTTTTTATTAGGACTCTGATATTGTTATATTTAAGAACAAAATATTTGATATGTAATTGATTGTGATATTAACAAAAATACTAAAATGTACTAGACAATTGTTTGCTTAAAAATATTTTTATATTAAGTTTATACTCGAAATGTACCTATAGAACTGTAAAAGGAGTAATTAAAGAGACCACTTTTTTATAAAATACTGAAAATACATTTATGTTAAGATTACAATCATTATTTGCAAAATTTAAAGAATAGATTTTGAGAATTGTATTAAATATTTATAATTATTAAAAGGTAAAAACAAACATATAATTAGATGAAATAAATGTACTCTATCAATTTAAATTTCCTTTAGTGACATTTTATTCTAAAGGTTTCATCTTTATTAGATAAATGTGCACATATTCTGTCATATAATGTACCAATGTATTGGTTTGATTTAAGAAATAAGTTATACACATCATTAAATGATTTAATAAATATTCTTCATTCTTTGCTGATAGATAACTACAACAATGACAGAAAACTATTTTTTTGTAATTAAAAATTTTCAAATCTATAATTTTAATTATTTTCTTTTTATGAACTTATCAAATGTTTTTTGTTTTTTTTTTATATTTGTAAGATACATAATAATCCTATAGCTTATCCTTCATTTTTTAGCATAATGAATAAAGACTAACCTATATTAATGTTTACTAATTTGTATTATAATTGTAATAACATATCTAATAAATTTTTATTTTTATATTCAATAATTTTTTATATTAATTATTTCTATAAAAAACAAGTATAATATTTTATTTTTCTTATATTTTGATGTTACAGAAACTTAAATAATTAGTCAATTTTCAGACATCTCTCAAAATGCCTGATCATACTTTGTTGAGCCGAAATTCTGAAGGAAGATCTTCTGGTAGCAGTGTTGTCAGTAATGGAAGTATGCGCGTGGCTACCTTACCTGTGACATCAATTGATGATGGAAAATCAAGGTTTCCAAAATTAGAAGAATGTGCTCATTTTCATTATGAACATGTTGAACTTGGACCATTAAAAGTTAGTTTATATAAAATAAAATGATTGCTTATAGTTTACTTAATTAAAATCCTTATTTTAGAAATTATATTTAAGTACCTTATTTTTTAATTTAGTTGACAATCTAAAGAAATATTATCACTAAACTATATAATAAATTATATGATGCATAAAATTGTTAACACAATTATAAAACAATATTATCATTTAAAAAACAAAAGAGGCCAATTTTTAGTATAAAATTAAAATATTATAATATTATAACAAAAAAAAAATTAATATTTTTTTGTATTTAAATTTATTAAACTTTAGATTTTAATTGTTGATCACTAAATAAATTATAAGACCTAGCTTTTATGTACAATGTATAATATTAATTTTGATTCAGCTCAGAACTTCTAAAATTTACATTTTTTTTTATTAAATGGCTTAAAAAATTGTCGAGTAAAAATTTAAGATTATATTCTGTTCAAGTTGTAACAAATTAAAATAAAATATATTATACATATTGCATGTTACATTTAAGTTTTTATGAAAACATGTATTTTTTACAGGAAATTTGATAACCTAAAATTAATATTTTTATTATAAATTTAGTTACTTTAATAATTTGTATTCAATTATGATTAAATTAAAAATAAATGTATCTTTAGTTTGATTTGATTGAAGAAGATGAACAAAAATTTGGAAATGTGGATAATGACAATGATTTTTGGTTAACTATTAAAGTAGAATCACAAAACACAGTTTGGGTTTTAAGGCGATCATATGAAAATGCAAGAACTCTTGATTATCAATTGCACAAATGTGTTTATGATAGAAAGTTCAGTCTACTTCCAGAACTTCAGCCTGTACCAAGTGATTGTGAAAATCCTAATGTAAGAAATATGCTTACAAAGACTTTTTCTTATAATAACAATATTGTCATTATTTATTTTTACATTATAGGAATATTTAAAAGACTTGATTAGTAAATATTGCAAAAGATTATCTGAAATAGCTATGGGAAGTTTAATTAATTGTGGACCTATTCTTAGCTGGTTAGAATTAGATAATCGAGGTCATCATCTTCTAGTTGCTGATGGAGATCATTGTGCGATAAACACCCCTGCTGTTGCTGCAGCTTATTCAGTCAGAAAATATACTGCACATGCTTCTGATGAAATTTCATTTGATGTAGTTTGAATATATTGACGGTTCTACTATAAATATTATTAATTAATCTAATTTTAATAGATTGGTGATATAATTTCTGTTATTGATATGCCATCACCTGAGGAAAGTGTTTGGTGGAGAGGCAAACATGGTTTTCTAGTTGGATTTTTCCCATCTAGCTGTGTAGCTGTTATAACAGACAAAGTTCCAAGAAATCTATATATAAATCCTCAAATGCTTTTTCTTTCTGAACCAACAAAACCCGTATTAAGGTAAGTCTGTACCCTATTTATATTTTTGTGATGTAATAATATAGGCTTCATTATTTATATGAGATAATTAAATAGATGTTCATTTAAACAAATATATTCTTTGAACAATTAATAAGATTTAAATTGTGATTATTAAAATGTATGTTGACATTTTCAGAAAACATGGTAAACTGATATCATTTTTTCGGTCTTTTATATTATCAAGACCAACACGAAGAACATTAAAACAATCTGGAATATTAAAAGAAAGGGTATTCGGTTGTGATCTGGGTGAACATCTTTTAAATTCTGGAAGAGATTGTTAGTATAATTTTTAATTATATACTAAGTGTTATGTAGTAATAGTTTTTTTTTTTTTATTGCAATTAAGAATAGGAAGATTTAGATCTTTTGTTAGAAAAAATATGTATATATGTTAATTATTTTTTTATTTATCATTTATTTTTTCTTTGTAGTATGATTAGTCATTGTTTAATGTTTCTATTTAAGTTTATTAAAATAATAATTATAATAATAATAGTTCCTCTAAATTCTTACTAAATTGTTTGAATTAACTTATTTAGTGTTTAATTAATGTTATTTAAAATATTGGTAACAAAAATAGAAAAGATAAAACATCTGCATTAATATAAGTATAGGTTCTGATGATGGCCTTACTGTTTTTATAGTATACAATTTGAATGATCTACTAAAATATTATATTACTTAATAAAATGGTTTTACTAATTATCGTAAATTTGTATTTTTAGTGCCAGATGTGTTAACTAGCTGTGCTGAGTTTATAGAAAAATTTGGAATTGTTGATGGAATATATAGACTTTCTGGTGTTACATCTAATATTCAAAGATTGAGGTTTGTATCAGTATTAAGATATTTTGTTAAAATACTTACAAGCTCATAAAGGTAGATATATAATTAATACTATCTTTTTTTGGTGCTCGTGTTCATGATTTATTTAAAACAACATTTGTTACATTTTCATGTGACACTATTTTAGTCTTTACACCTAGGTAAAAACTTAAAATTTTAAAACCAAAACAAAATAATATTGTGTTTTGATTGTAGTATTTTCTTTAAATTTATAAATAATAAAAATAATAGTTGATTTCACTTAAAATTCTTAAGTTAAATATTCCATTAAACTTTTATTTTTTACAATTATTTTCTGATACATTTCTAAAACATTTGCATATGCAAAGTATAACCTATATTTTTTCATTTAGCATAAATTTAACACAGTAAAACACTTAAACATTTACCCATTAAATAATATATAATTTGTTCAAATTTTAGGTCTACATTTGATGAAGATAGAGTACCAGCATTGTGGGAAGACGAATCAATAAGACAGGATATACATAGTGTGGCCTCATTGTTAAAATTATATTTTAGAGAACTCCCCAATCCATTATGCACTTATCAACTTTATGATTCGTTTGTAAATGCTGTACAATCAGTACCTGAGAAAACTACTGAAGTCAGATTACAGCTTATGAGAGAAACAGTTCAAAAATTACCACCACCTCATTTTAGGTAATTAAAGGAAAACTTTCCTTAAAAAGATAGGTTTATAGTTTTTTAGATAAATTAAGAAATTCTTTTATTTCTCTTATTAAAAATAAAAATGTTGATTTTATTAGAACGTTAGAATACTTGATGAAACATTTATCTCGTGTGGCTGCTCTTGGTGAACAAACAGGCATGACAGCAAGAAATGTTGCAATCGTTTGGGCACCTAATTTGTTAAGGAGTAAACAACTAGAAAATGGTAGTGGTGTTGCTGCTTTACATGGTGTTGGTATTCAAGCTGTGGTAACTGAATTTTTAATTCGGTATACAGACTATATTTTTAGCCCTATTCCTAATGTTGGAGCAAAATTACCACCTACCAAAGGTAAGTTATATATTAATAATTAAAAAGCAAATTTTATCCAATTTTTTTTTTTTTTTAGGTACCCCCAAAAAATCTCGACCTAAATCTTTAGCAATATCTACTCAAACAAAACTTTTAACTCTTGAAGAAGCTCAAAATCGTGTTCTAACTTTTGCAAAAAGAAATGATCCTAATTATATTGAAGTTGGTTAGTAACAATAGTTAATTAAATTATAAACATTCAAATAATATTATTGACATTTTAGGCGGGGGTCCTTCTTGTTTACCTGAAAAATATCATACTGTAATTGATTTACCATCAAGAAGATGTAATACTAACAAAAGACGTTCACCATTAAGATGGAAATCATTATTTACCCGAGGTGGAAGTAGTATTTCACTTGGAGTTCTACCACTTCGTAAAAAATCTGAACCAAATTTAACTCCTAAATATATGGTAAAATTTTTATAAATATAACAAGATTTTTATAAAGTATTTAATATTTTATTAAAGTTAATACATTAAAGTAATTTTTTTAAGTCTTTTAATGTAAATTGATAATACCATAAAATTATTTATTTGAGAAGATGCAATACTGCTTTTGAAGTTGTCTCCTTCTATGTACTATATACATAGAAAATTTGTATTTGTTTTAACATATATTGTGTTATTCATTTTAATATTAAATGGAGTTTACCAATTATTAAACTAAAAGTATTAATGTATACTATTTGTACTATAAAGGTATATGTTAAGATTATCTTTATATGCCTATGGTTTTAACAAATGCTGTTTTAGAATATTTTCATTTGCCTATAATATTGGTAAATGAGCTTTTTTAAGTTGTTATATTTTATATACTTGCTTAAAAATTGAGAAATATTTTAAAAGAGTCAACGTATAAACACTGATAAAATTAATAACTTTAATTTTGATGATAGGTCAGTTTACTTATATTTAAGCTAGCAACACTAGATAGGTTTTACTGATTTCAAATTTAGTTTTAAGATAGAATTAAAATGTTTAAGTTTCTGACATTACAGCCCTAAGTGTTAGTCTTAAAAGTGCATAACATAATAAATGTCTATTTAGTAGTTCTCGTTTAGCTTGGTTATATTTTATATTGAAGTAAATGCAGATGAGATGTTATCTGTAATTTAGAGTATTAAAGTCTTATTTCTAAAATTGTATTTATAATCTAGTATAAGTTATATTTAAAGACAACTTTTATTATTTTCAATAAAAACTTTTACTAATACAAGTAATATTATACCTATTAATTTTACTATTTATTAAAAATTGTTTTGTTTGATATTTCTTATTACGAGGATGCTGTACTCACATTTATCTTCCCTAGCTTTTATTTAGAGTTAATTGACTTATTATGAAACCTAATGGTAAGAACTTAATCTGTGTTTGTACATTGCATTTTTTTGATAATTCCATTTACAGGCAAGTTATGAGCATTTTTAAATTTTACTATTTTGTTTATGCAAGAATTGACAAAAAATTGAAAAATCATAAAAAAAATTTAATGTACGAACACAGATAAAAGTTCTTACCATTATTTTTGATAATTGGTCAATTCACTCTTATATTAAGGCTAACAAAGTTAAACGTGAACTTTTGAGTGTAGGTTTACTAAATTTCATATTTTTAAGATGGAAACAATTAATTTGGGTGTAGTGTCCTCTTAAGCTTTTCTAAAAATAAAAATGTTTATAATTAATTATTAAATTTATCAGGACTCAAAAGAATGTGTACGTCAGAGTATAACTGAAGGTATGAATGTTCAAGATACACCTAAGTCTTCAAAGTCAGTTAGTGAAACAATGTCTTTGAGAGAAATTAAAGGGACACCTCCATGTTCTCCTCCTGGCTTCTGTGGTTCCAGCTCAATTGGTCATAATCGTTCTGTGTCCCATGATTCTTATTTTGATCAACTTGCTGATCAAGAAGATATGGGAACATCACCTATTCTTCACCCAAGTCAAGAAGGTACAAATAAATAATAATGTATATTAAGTATTTATTTAAAATATTTCATTACAACTTTTTTTTATAGATTTAAGTGATTTGCAAGTTAACTTTGATTTAGATGAGTCTGATATGAGAGTATTTTCTGATGAAGATACTAATCATATTTTTAGTAATCGTTCAAGCATGGAAAATTTACAAAATGTGGCTCCTAATAATGTAAGTTTAAAATTAATAACTAAAATGTATAAGCACTTTTTTCGAGATATGCTTTCAAAGCTAACAAATAACAATAGGTTATAAGTATCAGGTAAATACTGATTAATAGTTTAAAAATATTTTATAACACAATATTTATTACTTTTTAAAAAGATGTAAAAAAATCTGATCAAACAATAAAATCATTATAAATAGTCCTTTTAACCAACAATATAACTCGAAATGTATAAAAATTTATTTTATTTTTATAGATCTTTTGTTAATATGGAAATAATATATTCATGTACAAATGTTAAAGAAACAATACAAATAATAACAATTTTATGCGATTTATATATATCACACTAGTGTCATAAATAATCTACCAAAAACTACTCACTAATAGTTTGTTCAAATTTTTAAAGTAAACTTTATTAATTATTAATTTACGAAAAAGCATGTTATATAAAATATTCATAAAAATGTATTTAAAAAGTTTATTATAAAAAAAAATATTATTATTAAAAGAAGGCTGTTTAACAAAACAATTATTATATTAATTACTCAGAAACGATTGCTTTCATGGGAATTAAAAAATTGTCAAACATTAAATTCATTAATGAATACATTATAGATCTTTACAGTTTCTTTTGCACCATTATCTCAAATTAAATAGTTTTTTTTTTTTTTTTGTAATACGTCATAAATGCTCTATATTCTGCTGTGTACCAATAGTCAACGTAGAATTTGTGAGATTTTAATTTTGTGATATATATATATATATATGTTTATTCTGATAAATCACAAAAATAATGGTAGATTATTTAAAACATTCAATCTAATTTTCTAAGAATATTTAAAAAATCAAGTTTTATATTTTCTTATTTGTTTTTTATATACTTAAAGATATTGACTTATTTTTATTTTTGTGTGCTTTAGTTGAATAGTAGCGCTAAACGTTTACCAATATTAGCACATGCAGAAGATTCATTAAGTGCAGATCCATCACCAAAGAAAATAAAAACCAATGATTCAAGTAAAGAAAATGATCATACAAAAAATAATAGGTTATCATATTTAGAAGAACGATTTGCTTCACCTGATATTCGATTCATTGATAGTCAATCTCCAGAACATGTAATTATTTTAATTTTATTTTATTTCTCAGATTAAAAAATGTACATATTTTTGTATTAGATGACTGTTGCTGCAGACATACATACAGAAAGTGATCAAATTATGACAGATGTTGAAAGTAATGAAACTGGTACAGGTTCATTGTCTACAATTACCACACCTACTCTATCATATTGTCCATTATCAGAAGATAGTTATAGTGACAAAAACACTACACCTGATTACCAGACTATCTTAATTGACTTTTGTGTATCAGATGTTTTGACCAAAAACCTTCTAACTACACCTCGAAATCGGTTAAGTTACCAAGGTGACTTAAGAAATAAAAGTTTATCTAATGATCGCCGTAGTTTTCAAGAAATAAAATTAAGAAATGTTAGAGATGATATTCTATGCGAATCTTTTAATAACAATAAAATTGAAGAAAAGGTGAAATCAGATATTTCTATTTTAACCGAATCCCTTAGTTCTCCTAAAAAAGCTGGATCTATGTATGAAATTGTTGTTGGTAACAATTATGAACGTTTGGGTCAAAAAAATTCAATTTTTCGTCAAGATGATTCTAGTTATGAAGAAGTAATGCCATCCTGTAAAGGTTCTACTGATTCGATTGATAACTTAAATTTTGAAACAGAGAAATCTGTTGAAAATATACATTATGAAATATTGGTTGTTACTAGTCCTGAATCTTGTAATTCCAGTCAACGTGAAATATCAATTTCTTCACAGGTACTTAAAATTAACTAATAATACATTAAAAATACACAAAATATACTTATTTTAAATTTTTTTTTAGGATAAAGTTGAGAATGAGAATTTAAAAATAAAAGAAATTATAAATAATGAAAACATATTAGATAATGATTATTTAGTTTCGCCTTCAAATGAAGATACTGACATGTTAATACAAGATGGACTTGAAACAACAATTTTACCAATTGAAAATGTTAAGAATAATGATAATATAACAAGTGGTGCAAACAGTTTAGTGACATCTACTGAAGAAGTTCCTGAAAATAAAGTAGATTTATTATTAGACTCAAATAGACGCAAATTTGAATCAGAAATTGGAAGAGATATAGTACATGAAAGGCGTATGAGAAAAGAATTGATGGAGAATTCAAGTTCTACTGGTAAGTTATGTTGTAGTATTCCTAATTAAACATTTTTACTGATAACTGTTGACATTTCATTAATGCAAAACTATGAATTTACTATTCATATTTTGTAGTTTTTAATTCAAATTTTTATCAAGTAAGAAAAAAAGAAACCATATATGTATTCAGAGAAGAGTAATCAAAATTTTTGTACACTGTCAAAAACTTTTTAGATTTAGTTTTGAAAATAAACTAATTGTACCTATAAAAAAATTATGAAACAAATTATTAATTTACTTTTAACAATATTATTAACATAAAAAACATAATGGTAAAGAAATAACTTTAATACTAGATTTGAACAATACTTTTTTTTAATTTTTGAATAGGATATATTTTTTAATTGCTATAATTTTAATATATCAGTTACTTATTAATTATTTGAATAAATTAAAGATTATTAATTGTTTTACGTAAGTTCTCCACCTAAAAAAATTTTTTTACTAAAAAAAATAATCTATTTTTTAGTTATCTTAGTACAATATTGATTTATACTGTAATTTAATTATTTTCATGTATTATAAAGTATTTTATTGTCATTCACTGTTTATTTGTTTTAGGAAATAAGGAAAATAAAAATAAAAATCATGAGTCATTAAATAAATTTGATTCCAATAAATCTCCTAAAAACAGTTCAACATGGATAAAAAATAGAAGACTTCGTAACAATTGTCAGCATGTTACTAGTACAGTTTCATTAGATGCTTTTAATTTTCCAATTGATAATCAAAATTTAGAACGTGTCAATACATCACCAAATCTTATAAGCTCAGTAAATAGTTTTCAAAAATCTGATTCATCTAATGATATGGATGCTACAAGACGTGAACGTATTGACCGTTATAAAGAAGAACGTAGGCAAGCTCTTCGTGAACGTTTTAAAATATCTGAAAGTGTTCAATATGATGATGATATAATTAAACGTCTAAGAGCTAAGACATTAAAATCTCCAGATGAATGCACTGAAACGAATATAAACAAATCCATTATACAACCAAAACATTTAGTAAAGATAATTACTTATGATGAACGTGATAATTTATCTATAGATCCTGAGCAAAAAGAATGGTATACACAAAGTTTAGAACGTAAAAAATGTTCTAAAAAAGAAACTAAAGGTTTAGTAGCATCAAGAGTAAATCAGTTAACTGGATATAAAACTTCTTCTGATGAAATTAATAATAAAAATACTTTAAAAACTAAAACAGATAAACAGACTGCAAAGTACATATTTTTACAACTACTTAATACATTTGTATATATATAATAAAAGTAATTAATGTGTAAAAATATATTTTTTTTACAGTTCAATTCGACAAAGAGCCCATAGTACTAGTGATAGACCACCTCAATTTTGTATAAAAGATATGGCGGCATTCTTCGAACAAAAACAGTAAAAAGAAAAATGTCAATATATTTTATTAGTTTATTTATAAATTGATTATTTATTATCAGTATAAAAGAAAAACGTATTTATTTGAAATATTGACTTAATTAAATAGTTTCATATAAGAAGTTATTTTATTAAGTTAAATCTATAATTTCATGACAAATAATTAACAATATAATCTCTAACAATTACATAATTTTTAGTTATAAGCTGTTATAAAATATATAGATAATATATTTATGTCCTAATTAAGTTTAAAAATGTCGTTTTGTTATTAAAACTAATTCTGTGATAGTGATTTTTATCAGGTCTGTATTTTAGACCTTGTAAAATATTTTGTAGAGTATAATAAAATATTTGCTTTTTTTACCCATATCTTGTTCATAATATTATATGAATATACAAATTATGACACTTTTAGTGAAAACCTATATGTTCTTCTATAAATTCTATTGTTATCTAATGGTTTTCTTTTAATAAAAGCAGTTAGTTACTAACTAAGTATTATTTAGTATGTTTTATGACGAACATTATTTCTTTTTTTTAAATCTTGTATTATTTTTTAATAAAACTCAATAATTAAATAAAGTATGAATTACATAACTTTGGCCAAAGATAAAATTATAGTCAATACTTGATAAATTTTGAATGTATGCCAAATGTATAACTGACTCATTAGTCTGAGAGGATATATATCTAATAATATAATTGTGTTTGTATTGTATATTTTTAATTATTTTTATTTTATAATTGTTTTGATAAAATCTTTCTGAGATAGTGTATGACAATAGTTTTTGACTTAAAAATGATTTTTAATACCAGATCTATTTCAATAAAAGTATTATAATGTACAAGTAACTAAAAACATTAATTTTCATAATAGTTGATTGTTTTTTTATTAAACATAGTATTATTCATTTTATTAATACAATTATCTTATATTTTAATTATATTTAAGTATTCCAAAATGTTTTGAATTTCAATATTGCTAACTTAGTTTTATAAACTAACTACTAAATTTTAATAACTTTTGTTTTACCATTATTATTTTTTTATTTTTATTTTTTTATTATTTCTATTATTTTGTTTAATTTACTACTTATAACTTATTAATTATCTAATTTAACTTACATTATTAATATATTGTATAAGTGTGGTCAAATATTATAATACTTGTTTTTATTTTTTGTGTTTTGTTTTTGCGGTTCTCCGCAATTTGTTATTTTTATTTGAAAACATCATTTAGTATGTTAATCTTCATTTAATTTAAAATGTATTTATTTGTAAGTATAAGTAAGCAATGTATTAACAATACTTCTTACTTATTATCAACAAGTATTACACCTATTACTCAATCTCTATGTATATTTTTCACAATTTTTATTTAATTATTATATTTTTTTTATGACTGTCAATAACTTTTAACTTATAATGTTAATTTTTAATCTTGCTGGATAAAAATAGTTTTTAACTTAATAATTTACAATATGTTAAACTACTCAGATATTGTTGTGCACAAATTGTAAAAACATTTATTCCTAAGTGTTTCTTTTAAGTTTATATTATTATTATATATTAATTTTTTTTTTACTTTACCTGTAACACCAAAATTAACAATACAAAAAAAACTACCAGTTTTTGTTTGGCTTTTAAACAAAATATATAACAATCATTGGAAACAAATTTTCAATTTCTTGTATTATTATTAAGTAAAATTAATTTTCCGTTCCTTGTATTATTATTAAGTAAAAAAAATCCTTTAAGACAAATTTTTTTGTTTTTTCTGATTATGAAAAGTATTTTAGACATGACATACTACCAAAGTACCAATTATATCTACAAATTACAATACTCTTATTTATCAGTGGTTTGTACTATAAATTTCACAAAAAATCTTAACTTGTTTAATTTGTTAAGTACAACTAAAATCAAATATTAGAACTTTTATGAGTTATTTTTTTACTGACTGTTTTTTGAAGGTTTTAGAAGACTTTTCTTCTGAATTTACTTTCTGTAAGTTTTTTAATATGATAACAATGAAGAATTTTAAAATAGATAAATATTAGTCGAGAAGTCAATTTTAGATGCACTACTGTTTTATAAGTATTTATCTTTGAATGTTCCAAAAATAAAATAAAATAAAGTTTTAAATTAAAAAAAAAGGTAGTTAAGTGCTATACATAAGGTGTCAAGTGAGTTACTGTTATAGGTGTGTTTAATTTTAACTCAATGATATATTATTTTAAATGGAATTTTGGCAAATGATTCTAAGAGGAAATGAAATGACAGTCTATATCACAAAGTATATTCATAAAAGATTCTACAAAAAATGTTTTTAAATTAAAATAAAATAATTACCATCGTTATTTATCTTTAAATGAATAATTTTGTTCAAATTTGAATTTTAAATGTCAATAAAAAGAATTCTAAACATAAAATTTAGATTTTATGATTTCAATCTGAACTACTTATGAGAGATATTATATTAAATTTTGAAAACTTAAACATAAAACTAAAAGTTCTCATACATTTTTCAAAAGCTTAACTTTGAAAAAATATTGTGACCATACATTTTTGATATTTTTTAATTGAGAAATAAATATATTAGGAAGATTTTGAATTATATTTTTAAACATTCTTATTCAGAAAATAAATTTTAATCAATATTTGAAGAAAAAACAATTTTAAATGCTTACCTATACTTAGATCAAAAATAGTCGAAAGATTTGAAAAATTTTTTGTTAATAGAAAATAATAATCAGATGATATAAACGGTTTTTGAAAATTTCAAGTATCTAAAGTTATTTGTTTTTGAGATAAACAAAATCGATTTTGTCAACTATTAGAATTTAGATTTCCATTAAAATTTCAGTTTCTCCTTAATTTAACTTTTTGTTGTTTAAAAAAAAAAAAAAAATACCTACAAAAAGTTGGAATTTTCAATTTTCACTTCTCCAATGTACAAACTAGGTTAGGTTAAATTTTCTATCCGAAACGACCTTCAAAATTAAAAATAAAACATTAACACAAAAAAAAAAAATATAATAAAAATATATTATAAAATCAATAGGTACTTTCATTACTCTACTCGTCTACTCAAAATCTGAAATGTGGAATCTAGTGGTGAATTTAAATCTATGTTTTTCTTTTTTTTATATGAAAATAGATGATCGCTGATCGGTATATTAAATATGATTATGTAATTAATTATTAATTTTTTTTTTCATTTATATCGTTCGACATAAGATGTTCTCTTAGCCCGTGGTTTATTGCCTGTATCTATATTATTATGAATGGTTATAAACGTGGACTAAGATTCATCATAATTCATGTATAGAATAGATTAAATCTATTTAATTTATTCTGTGATTTACGGTTGTAGAGATGGCAATGGCATATTATTATTTTTTTAAATTAAACAAATTAAAATAAATTTCATACTCATTTTATACAATTAATAATTGTTTGTCATTTAATTCATTGTCAGTAAACCTAATACCTTAGTGTCAAATTAAAAATCTTCATTATTATAGTTTAAAACATATTAATATGTGGCCTATTAATTAATTAATTATTGAATAATAATTTTAGCAATACGAAGCCGTGGCCCGGGACGTATTAAATATGAATATTCAATTAATTTGTTATATGGTTATACTGTTGTGTGGTATGTACCATAAATTACCAAAGGTCGCAGTATAATTTTTGTAGGGTGTGTGAAGAATAACCTACAACCATGGTAGTATAGGAATTTCTGTTTGGGTTTCGCTCTTCCATGACAATTCACTATTGTTTGATTACATATTTTATCCATAATTCCTTTTAATTGATGCGTCTGCCGCTTACATTAAACGTTTGCAGTGTTTGCACAATATTTTACCCAACTTCTACTAATTAGTAATTACAATCTACTTCAGACTTCTAAGCATTTACACATTGCATTCTGCAATATCATCGCTCGGCTTTTTTGTTTTCCTACGTTATCCCTATTGATTTTTGTTGACTTAGTGAGTTTTTTAATCTTATGAATTTGTTCAAAACGTTGGCCATCGATACAATTTAAGTTCATGTGTGGTAGGAGACACATAACTGAATTTTGTGAGACGTAAGTGTTCATTAACGTTTTAGCGTTTGGTTTAGATAATATTTTGATAAATGCTATTCTTAATCAACAAATTGGACCATATAATTCTCTCATGTATGTTTTATGTGTTTTATGTATTATAGTGCACCATGTCAAGAAGTAAGAGTCGTAGCCGCTCTAAGAGCAGAAGTCGCAGCCGTTCGCGCAGTCGTAGGACATCACGCAGCTATTCTAGAAGCCGTTCGGGGTCAAGTCGCAGCCGCAGTCGTAGCAGGAGCAAGACCCCAGTCGATAAACACAGGCTCCACGTCAGAGACATTGGTTAGTATTTCTATCTAAACATCGATTTAATTAATGACTATTTAACACTATTTTAGTTATTATAAATCAAGTAGTATAAACAAATATTATTGTTTTATTGACCCCAATTTTTCATCAACTATTCTTCAAACTTAGACTATACATTTTGTTGAATTAGAATTTATTTACATATTTCATAATTTAAAATTGTACAAATATTCATTTAGTTAAATGTTTTTAAGATTTGTGTATTTATTAATGAAAAATGAATTACAGAGATCAAGAATTGGATAGTCAGGTTTATTTTTTGAATATTTTTAAATTACCAGATCATAAAATAAAAAAGTATTGTATTTTGATGGTCAATTGATAATCTGTTTAAAAACATAATGTTCTCTACTTGTTTATCTTAATATTTTAGTATTATTTTTAAAATAGAGATAAAGAATGGTAAACTTAAATAAATCAAGGCTAACTTAAATCCAAACACAGTTTTATTTATGTATTATAATTTTTTGTTAGTAGTTATGTTGTATAAATATACCTTAAATAACAAAGTTTAATTTTCAACCGTTAAAATATTTAAAATATATTCAGTATCAAAAAAACTTAAATCTATTATTTACTTTTAAGAATTTAAATTCTAATTATAGTGTATTCAATGCTTTATTAAGCGCTGATCAACTTT